CCTAACAACTCCCCATTTCTTCCTCTAACCACCCTCTGGTAACCACCCTTCTACTTTCTGTCTCCATGAGTTGGACTCCAGGTACTTCATATAAGTGGAATCATGCAGTATTTGTCCTTTTGTATCTGGCTTATTTCACTTAGCATAATGTCTTCAAGGTTCAACCATGTTGTAGTATGTGTCAGAATTTCCCTTTTTCAAGGCTGAATACTGTTCTATTGTATGCATGGGCAATGAAATATTATCCATTCATCTATCAGTGGATTCCTGGGTTGCTCCCATCTCTTGGCTATTGTTGGTCCTATTACTTGAACATGAGTGTACAAAAACTCTTTGAGATACTGCTTTCACTTCTTTCGTATGTACACCCAGAAACACTTGTGCAGTTTTTCCCCTATTAACATAAAAAAAGGATCCAGTTAGTCTTAAAATTAAAAATCAATTTATAAAGCAAAATTACCAATCCTATATAATAAAAGAGAAACATGCAAATTAACCATCCCTCTGCTATGCTCAAGCCACGCCCACAAGCCAATCAGGAGCGAGTATGCAAACTAACCCAACTAATATGGTGTGGCCACAGAGCTGGAGCGAGCAGGAGGCTTGGGTTGTCCCGGGCGATGGAGGAAGCCAAGCTTCCCGCCTGCCCTGGCCGGCCCTCAGCTCTGCTCAAGGCTACAAAGTTTCAAGGCTACAAAGTTTCAATTATAGAAGATAAATAAATCCCAGAAAAAAAGAAAAAAAGGAGAGGCTTGGAGCTTTGGTCGCCCAGGCGCATGGCCAGCCTGAAAACGGCCATCAGCCCCTCATTCAGGCTGGCCAGGCACCCCAGCAGAACCCCAAAAGGGCTGTGGGCAGCCTGAAAACGGCCCTCAGCTCCTCACCCAGGCTGGCCAGGCACCTCAGTGGGGACCCCCACCCTGAAGGCGGTGTGGCCAGCCAAAAACAGCCCTCAGCCCCTCACCCAGGCTGGCCAGGCACCCCAGCGGGACCACCCCAGCCTGAAAGGGCTGTGGGCAGCCTGAAAACAGCCCTCAGCCCCTCACCCAGGCTGGCCACACCCCCATGGGGTCCCCACTGAGGGGCTTCGCCAGCCTGCAAACAGCCATCAGCCCCTCACCCAGGCTGGCCAGCGGGACCCCCACCCTACCCAGGACACCCTTCAGGGAAAACCAGCCGGCCCCCACCCGTGCACCTGGCCTCTATCCTATATAATAAAAGGTTAATATGCAAATTGACCCTAATAGCAGAATGACTGGGAATGACTGATCACTATGACACACACTGACCACCAGGGGGCAGACGCTCAATGCAGGAGCTGCCCCCAGGTGGTCAGTGACCTCCCATAGGGGAAGCTCTGCTCAGCCACAAGCCAGGCTGACAGCTGCCAGCACAGCGGTGGTGGTGGAAGCCTCTCTCGCCTCCTCAGCAGTGCTAAGGATGTCTCGCTGTAACTTAGGCCTGCTCCCCGCTGGCAAGTGGACATCCCCCGAGGGCTCCAGGGCTGCCAGAGTGATGTCTGACTGCCAGCTTAGGCCTGGTCCCCCAGGGAACGGGCCTAAGCCAGCAGGTCGACATCCCCCGAGGGTTCCCAGACTGTGAGAGGGCACAGGCTGGGCTGAGGGATCCCCCTGAGTGCACACATTTTTGTGCACCGGGCCTCTAGTAATTTAAATAAATGACTTTAAAAAACACACATGCACTTTCGGCTTTGTAAATTGTCATCCTACTTTTTAAAGACTTGAGTTGTTTTTCATTTGCTATTTTCTTATATCTTTGTGAATTGGTAGCATATTGCCAAGAGTTCCAAATTATTAATCATTCTGTGGTTATTTTAGAAATCCTTCAGAAAATAAAATTTTATTTTAATAATAAATTTGAACTTTGAAATTTAAGCAGTTTGTAGGAGCTGGTATTGAAATAGTATTGGACCATCTATGTCAGCCGTGGGCAAACTACGGCCCGCGGGCCAGACCCAGCCCGTTTCAAATGAATAAAACTAAAAGATAAAAAGACCGTACCCTTTTATGTAATGATGTTTACTTTGAATATATATTAGTTCACACAAACACTCCATCCATGCTTTTGTTCCGGCCCTCCGGTCCAGTTTAAGAACCCATTGTGGCACTTGAGTAAAAAAGTTTGCCCACCCCTGATCTATGTAGAAGTAAGTGTTGGAGTAGAGGCAATTTAGCAGATCCTATATAATAAAAGGGTAATATGCAAATTGACCCTAACAGCAGAACGACTGGGAATGATTGGTCACTATGACACACACTGACCACTAGGGGGCAGACGCTCAGTGCAGGAGCTGCCCCCAGGTGGTCAGTGACCTCCCATAGGGGAAGCTCTGCTCAGCCACAAGCCAGGCTGATGGCTACCAGTATGGCGGTGGTGGTGGTAGCCTCTCTCGCCTCCTTAGCAGCGCTAAGGATGTCCTACTGCAGCTTAGGCCTGCTCCTCACTGGCAAGTGAACATCCCCCAAGGGCTCCCGGGCTGCCAGAGGGATGTCTGACTGCCAGCTTAGGCCTGGTTTCCCGGGGAACGGGCCTAAGCCAGCAGGTGGACATCCCCCGAGGGTTCCCAGACTGTGAGAGGGCACAGGCCGGGCTGAGGGACACCCCCCCCACCCCCCCGCCGAGTGCACAAATTTTTGTGCACCGGGCCTTTAGTTGGAAATAAAATTACACTAATTCTGTATTCTGGTCTCATCCTCTTCATCTTTGTAACTTTGGGTAGGTCACTTTAAACCTTTAGAGATTCAGTGTCCTCATCTATAAAGAAGATATTTACATACTTGCCTCAGAATGTGAGAACCAAACAAATTACTATTTGTGAGAGTACTTTAAGAATATTAACCCCTCTATTATTTTAGAACATTAGTAAATAAATTTAGTGATATTATAATTTTGAAGGATAGCAGGAAATAACTTTCATTAATACCTTACTTAATCCTGTTAAAGTAGTGGTTTGCCTAAAAATTAATATACATCAGAGCCTCTTTATAATATCTTTGAAAATTATTTTAATTCAACTGAAAGGGAGAAAATGATGCTAAGGCACTAACCTGGTTTACATAAACTGAATTGTTGCCATGGAATCTGTGATCTTTACATATACCAGGGGAAAATATATAAAAATTGAAAGTGATACATTTCTTTCTCAAAACTGGAAAAAATGCATAATATACACTAATAAAAGAGAAACATGGTAATTGGCGTACGACCGCTACCCTTTTCATTGGCTAATCAGCGAGATATGCGAATTAACTGTCAGCCAAGATGGCGGCCGGCAGCCAGGCAGCTTGAAACTAACATGAGGCTTGCTTGCCTCAGTGACGGAGGATCATTGGAGGAAACCAACGTTCCCCGCCTGCGGCTGCAGGCCTCTGAGCAGGCAGTTTAAGAAACATTGTAACAAATACTGCCAGACTTCAGCCAGCAGATTCGCAACATTGTAAGCAAAGGCCAGAAACCTACTGAGCCGCTGAGGCCTAAGAGCTGGAGCCAAGCCTCAAGGTAAAGCTGGCCCAGAATAAAAAAAAAAAAAAAGAAAAAAAGGAGCAGTTGGGAACTTCAGTCACTCCCAGCCTGAAAACAGCCCTCAGCCCCTCACCCAGACTGGCCAGGCACCCCAGTGGGGACCCCCACCCTGATCCAGGACACCCTTCAGGGCAAACCAGCCGGCCCCACCCATGCACCAGGCCTCTACCCTATATAGTAAAAGGGTAATATGCCTCCCAGCACCGGGATCAGCGTGACAGAGGGCAGCGCCCAAACCCCCTGATCGCCCTGCGGCTCTGTGTGTGACAGGGGGCGGGGCCCCAACCCCCTGACTAGCCCTGCTCTGTGCCTGATAGGGGGGAGCTCCCCAACCCCCCCCCCACGGGCCCTGCTCTGTGTGTGATGGGGTAGAGCCATAACCTCCCCATCGGCCCTGCCCTTAGTGTGAGAGTGGCGGCACCCTAACCCCCTGATCGGCCCTGCTCTGTGGGTGATAGAGGGCGGTGCCCCAACCCCCTGATGGGCCCTGCTCTGTGTGTGATGGGGGCAGCGCCCCAACCCCCTGATTGGCCCTGCTCTGTGCGTGACGGGGTGGCGCCGCAACCTCCCCATCGACCCTGCCTTGAGTGTGACAGGGGGCGGTGCCCCAACCCCCCAATCAGCCTACCCTGAGCGTGACTGAGGGTGGCATCACAACCTCCCAATCTGCCCTGCTCTGTGCATGATGGGGCAGCACCCCAACTCCCCAATCAGCCCTGCTCTGAGCCCGACCAGGGGCTGCACCTAGGGATTGGGCCTGCCCTCTGCCACCCGGCAGCAGGCCTAAGCCAGCAGGTCGTTATCTCCCGAGGGGTCCCAGACTGCGAGAGGGCACAGGCCGGGCTGAGGGACCCCCTCTCCCCCCCGAGTGCACAAATTTTTGTGCATCGGGCCTCTAGTATCTTATAAATACTTATGTTCAATTTTAAGGTCTCTGAGGGCAGTGATTATATCCTCTCCAGTGCCGAGCATTTAAACATAGTAAATGCTCAGGAGATGTTAGTTCAGTTAAACTGAATGTTAACAAACATTCATAATTGTAAGTAAAAAGAGAGCTTGTTTGTCATTAAATAACATTCCTTCCTTTTTTCCTCCTTCCATTGTATCATCTTAAACACCCGTGCACAACTTATTACAGCAACCACTTTATACCTAAGTAGAATTTTTTTTGCTATTATTTTCGCAAAATTTCCAACCAGAGCCTGAACTTAACTATTAAAAATATTAGTAGAAAGAGAAAATTATTCTTATATCAGATTAGGGTAAATATATTTGTATTGTCTTGACTTGTTTAAGTGATAGATCCTTCACCACACCAAAAAAAAGTATTTGGTACATCACAGAATTTTTCCTCAAATGAGAATTTTATAGCGTTTTGTTTTTTATTGATATGTCACCTATGTAGAACAATGTGTTTACAACTTTCCCTGACTTAATCTATTTTTGATCATTTTCAGGGTGAATGAAGACATGAAATTAACTGACTTAGAACTAGGAAAGCTGGCTAATAATATCCAGGAGTTACTGTATAGTGCCTCAGACATATGCCATGATCGAGCTGTCAAATTTCTCATGTCAAGAGCAAAGGTTAGTTGTTTTGATAAAGCTTTTAATATTTTATATATAGTGTAATTATTTGAAAATCTGGAATCATATCCCTGCTTATGTCCCTATGTTCCCCATAATGCATATTATATTTTTAACACTTAATAAGATTATTAGGCAGATGTTAAAATAATCCAAATACGAGAAATAGGAAAACGTATTCAAGTATTCTTTTCAAATAAATGATTTAATAAAAGACTTATTTTGAAATATACCTTAATAATTAATATGAAATTAATAATGCTATTTTGTACATGTGAATATAACTAGTCAAACAATTTATTATTAAAATTAGTTGAACTCCAATATTGTGAAATTTTTACATGATGTTGTGAATTTATTTGAGCTGCTGTATTTTAAGTGGGTTGGGATAAAATTCAGATAAGCTTTTTACATTCAATTTTTGAGACTAAAGTATTGGCATAATTAAAAATGATTTCAAAATAATTTTTATGAATTAATATATTAAATATAAAATAATTAATATTAACATTTGTCAAACTGAGTGGTTTTGTAGCATATCCATATTTGGTGATATACTAACTGTCACGAATTTTGTGTTATCTTTAAAATTTAGGATGGTTTTCTTGAGAAGCTGAATTCCACGGAATTCATAACACTTTCTAGGTTAATGGAAACATTCATTTTAGACACTGAACAGATCTGTGGAAGAAAAAGCATGTCATTACTTGGAACACTTCAGAGCCAAGCTAATAAATTTGTAAATAGGTTTCATGAAGAGAGAAAAACCAAGCTCAGGTATCATTACCATGTCTATTTTGTCCTTCATTTTTTCCCCCTTTTCTTTACAAAAACACATTTATATTTAAAAGAAGAAACTTAACTGTTTGGCCAACCAAAACTCCTGACAAAGTTTTTTCTTTTTAATTAAAGGCAGATTTGGAATCAAAAATCACAGTTTTTGCCTTTTCAAAATGAAGTTAGAATGTTTATTCCCATTAAAATATTTATCAGGAAGATCCTTAATAGATTGCCTTTTCCCCCCACTGAAAGTGAAAATAATTATGTTTCATCACTCTTCTTGGTTAGGCTAAGAGATATAAAAAGAGAAATATTTTCTGAAAGTATTCATACTGTTTATGAATGCTTTCAATTTACTAAGGTGTTCAGCACTTTTAAGTCTTATGTACTAACAATATAGCTAATAACCATTGCTGTTTAAAAACTCAGTGTCTTGTATTGCATGAACTCTACTTGAATTAAACTTATTTGTAGTTTTTATTATTAAAAGATATAACAAAAGTCTTATGTATTTTCTCAGCTCTTTTCAACCAAGAAAAATGGCATTAAAATGTTATTAATGTTTATCTTTCTTTTTACTTTTAAATAGCCTCCTTTTAGACAATGAGCGCTGGAAACAAGCTGATGTTCCTGCAGAATTTCAGGATCTTGTTGATTCTCTATCAGATGGAAAGATTGCTTTACCTGAAAAAAAGTCAGGGGGTATGTGTATTTTTTCACACACTCTTCCAATTTTATATTGTTTGTTCATTTTGTGGGAATGCTTAATATTTCATTAATTGACAGTACCTCTTTAAAAGCCTAGAACTAATACTCCCAGCTTAGTTAGTAGTTGACTGGAAAGGTATCTGTGGTAATTTATAATTTAGATATTTATTGATGGGTAATCATATGCCAGACACTGTACCAGGTGCTTTTTCAAACTCCAGTTTTAAAACTCAATCTGTTATGAAGATACTATTGTTAGGTTGTTTAACAATGAGGAAGTGAGGAAGCATGAAGCTTTGAAGGGTTAAGAAATTTTGTATAAATGTGATGAGCTGGGATTTGAAACCAGTGTCCTATCATTTCATAGTTATGTTCTTAACCACTGTACCATATTATTCAGTACAATTATTTGTACAGCACAAGTAAGCTTCTGTGTGTCAGATATTGAGACAGGGATAGCAGTTATAGTTGTACTTTAAAAGGATTAAGTCTAATGAAAAAATACAGATTAGCAGTCACATTAGACACAGTATATTAGCAAGTAATGTAGTATGATGCAGTAAAGAAAATAAAAATGTAAAGTATCATAGAAAAAGAAAATTATGAAGGAGACTAAGAAGGAAAAGCCAGAGAGGTAGGAAGAAACTCAGAAGAACATAGAATTAAAAAATTAAGAGTTTCAAGAAGAGAATTGTCATTGGTATCAAATACCGGATGGGTTTTATATGAAGTGGAATTGTCATATGATAATAATGTAAAGTTATTTACAATTTATCCTGTAATACCAGATTCAAAACTATGAAGTCCTTGAATAGTTTTCATGGAGGGGGTAGTTGCATTTTCAGTTTATGCACTTAATGAAAATTTAATATTTTTCCATAGAAATATTTTTTAAATTGTAGACTTTACATTTGTACAAAATACAATTGCACATAATAGAAAGATGGAGTAAAATCTAGTGACCACTAGTTTGACATGTAGATCATTTGCAGTCTTACATTAATTCAATAGAATGATAGAGTCAGATTGTCATTCAGTGCTAAGAAAGTCAAAAGGTGAGGAAGGGTAGACAAGTGTAGCCTACTTTTCAACAAGTTTCGCTGTTTAAGTAAGTGATGAAGCAACAGCTAGAGATATAAGATAAATTAGAGATTTTTACCTTAATCCACTCAGGGAGTTGAGAGAAGAATTTTAACATAGGAGGAGCATAGTTATATTTTTATGCTTAACAGAGGAAGAAGATTAATTTAGGATAAGAATGACATAGTGATTATGGAGCAATTACCCTGGAATTGACTCTAGAGTTCAGGAGAAAGGCTGTCTCTTCTACCACTGTGGCAAGAGAGGAGGGTTAACGACAGGTGTAAAATAGATTAATTCATAGAGAGGGAGGACTGGAAAGAATTAAGTAAATTTCTGTTGTCCTGTGGCCATTGCTAGTAGATAACAACAGTGCTGGGTGGTGGTCAGAATTTTTAAATTGATTTTATGATATTAGCAAAGCAAAAACACTCAAGTAGCAAAAACTGAAAGAAAAATAAAACACTCTGATCATTCTAAATCTCAAGTTTAAAATTATAAAGATTTATTGCTCATCTGCTGCTCTTTTAAGCTACATTTGATCAACTTTCTATTAAGGAAGGGTACTGTACTAGGTCACTCAGACATGAGCAGCTCAGTCTTGCAATCCATTGTCATGTAAACATGATTTTTTAATTAAAATTATATAATGTGATTGAATTAACTGTGTATTTTTTCTGCAAAGTGGACTATTTATTTTCATTTCCTGTTGAAGAATACTAAAAGTAGAAGTTTCTCTATATACCCTGCTTCTGTTCCAGTCTTTTTTTTCTTTCCTCAGAGAAGAAAGTATAAGCTATTAGAAGTTTATTAACATTTTACTAGGTCTTACCAAGTTAGGGATCCTTGGTTATTATGTATGTATCCACCATTCATTTATTGAATTACTGGTTACTTGGCTAGGCATTGGGGAAATGAAGGTTAATGGATAGTAGTTCATATTGATGCTAGCACTTTATATTGTTATCTCATTTACAGGTCCACAAGGTAGTCACTGTTAGTATTCTCAATTAACAAATATGTGAAGTGAGGCACAAAGAGGTTGAGCAACTTGCCTAAGCTTACATAGCTAGGAAGTGGTAGAGCTGAGATCCAGATTCAGGCAGACTGACTCTAGGGCCCTTTCTCTTAACTGCTATGCTATGCCTCTTCTCTGCAATGTAGAGAACTGGTTAAGACATAGTTCCTGTCCTCAAAAACTTTAATATGACATACAGAGTGAATTGTGATTACACATTATATCACACTGAATTTCTTTACTTTGAAGAAATGAGGAAGTAGACATTTAATGTGTCAACATAATAATGTCCAAACCTGTAGAGAATTTTTATAAGAGCTTATTTGCGTCAAACTGATGGCATTTGAAAAGCAAGATCTCAAATGCTTCAGCAAATGACAGTTTTGCACTTCTTTTTATACATTTGGAATGAAGGAGGGAATGTAAGGAAGATTACATGAAGGTGGGAGAAAGCAAAGTATAGGATAGTTAAGATTGTGTTCTCTTTGGAGGATGGTTACACTTCCAAGGAGTCTGAAAAAAGAGGCATTTCAAAGGTGTGTTAACCTAGATCCTAGAACCACAAGAACAATGGACAGATTTTGCTTAAGGCCGAGATAACCTTTTACTAGGAAAGTTATAGGCCTGAGGTGTGACTACCCTTCATGAACTGCCCAGTTTGGATTTTGTGATCAGATCACTCTGTGGCAGTGGTTCTCAACCTTCTGGCCCTTTAAATACAGTTCCTCATGTTGTGACCCAACCATAAAATTATTTTCGTTGCTACTTCATAACTGTAATGTTGCTACTGTTATGAATTGTAATATAAATATCTGATATGCAGGATGGTCTTAGGCGACCCCTGTGAAAGAGTCGTTCAACCGCCAAAGGGGTTGCGACCCACAGGTTGAGAACCGCTGCTCTATGGAGTTACGTTCTGTCATTGAACTTGTACATAGCCCCTTTATTATTCACAAATGTCTTAGAGCTTAAAGGGGACTTGAAGCTTAGGGAAGCATGATAATTTGGCTGATTCAGGTAATAATCCAGTGCACCTTTTTTTCACCTCAACATGATGAATTTTGTTTTATAATAAGAAATACTGGCCCTAACCAGTTTGGCTCAGTGAATGGGGCGTCAGCCTGCGGACCGAGGGGTCCCGGGTTCGATTCCGGTCAAGGGCATGTACCTTGGTTGCGGGCACATCCCCAGTGGGAGGTGTATAGGAGGCAGCTGATCGATGTTTCTCTCCCATCGATGTTTCTGACTCTCTATCCCTCTCCCTTCCTCTCTGTAAAAAATCAATAAAATATATTTTTTTTTAAAAAAAGAAATACTGTATGCTGAAAATAGCTTCTGGATTAAAATCTTGAAATTAAATATATATTGTATCCATGGAATATAGGAATTAACTTGCATTTTGTAATAAAGACATCCAGTTGAAATGTTCTGCTTTTTCAAACTAACATTTTTGTTTTTGCTTTACTACTTACTGATCATGTATCATGTGCCAGACCTAGAGTATAAACAGTTTGTAATCATTATCTCTATCATTAACAACAGCCCTGAAAGATAATATTGTTATCCATGTATAATTGATATAGATATTGAAACTCAAATATGTTAATTGGCCCAAGGTCATGAGTCTAGTAATTGGCGGTACTGGATCTCAAATCTAAATCTCTCTGATTTCAAACTTAGTATATTATTGATTCTGTGCCAAATTGTTTCCTGAGGAGTATTTATTTTCAGATATGAGACAGTTTCCGGCCCTATAGAGCAACTATCTTATTCCATTTTTTTCCTAGTTTAAATTTTTCTATAATATTTTGTTTTATCTTGTACTTATGTCTTTCTTGTTTATTTGCTTTGCTCTCTAGCTAAAGAAGAAAGGAAACCAGCTGAAGTTCTCATTGTTGAGGGACAACAGTATGCTGTTGTTGGGTGAGTGACACATTTTTCCTTATTAGTTAAGTAAATTATTTAAAACATAGGTCTTTTAGTTCCCACTTGATGTAAGTTGGAAATTTTGGGTTAACAATTTAAAACCCTCCAAAGAGCCCTGGCCAGGTAGCTCAGTTGGTTAGAGCACCCTCCCAGTACACCAAGGTTTCAGGTTCGATCCACAGTCATAGTATATACAAGAAGCAACCAATGAATGCATAAATAAGTGAAACAACAAATCGTCGTTTCTCTCTCTCTCCCTCCCTCCCTCTCTTCCTCCTCTCTCTTTCCCTAAAATCAATAAAAGAAAAAACTTCCAAATAATTTAAAGTTCTCTTTTCAACTTCTGATATATCCTGCTAATGATATATCCTTTCTCATCTTTGAAGAATCTTTTGTGACTGTCAATGTAAGAAATGTCCAGTCCTGTAGAGAATTTTTATAAGAGTTTATTTGAACCAAACTGAAGACATATGCCAGGAAGCAAGATCTCAAGTGCTCTAGGGCAGTGATAGGCAAACTCATTAGTCAACAGAGCCAAATATCAATAGTACAACGATTGACATTTCTTTTGAGAGCCAAATTTTTTAAACTTAAACTATATAGTTAGGTACATTGTTATTAACTTAATTAGGTTACTCCTAAGCTGGCCTTTGCTAAAAACATCCTCATTTTATAATAATAAAGCCACCAACACAAAATAATTAGAATTCTTAAATTGATGACAAAAATACCTGTAGGATTTGCAGCTGGTTGGAAAAATACAGGTAACTTGATGCTTCGAGTAGGTACTTTTGTCACCCGCGCGCGATTTGTGGATGCAACTAGCACTAACCATAGCACAATGAGACTGCTGACTGACTGGCTCACCCAACTCATGCGTGAATTGCGCGCCTCCCCGGCACTGCGTATCCCGTCACCCGACCGACCAACACCCCCCCACTTCTAACGCCACTTCTTCAAAATAGACTTGCCCAGGCCGAAAACCAACTTTTGTGCATGGGCCACGAAGTTTCAGTCGCACTATACGTGCGCGCCCGCACGTGGTATTTTGTGGAAGAGCCACACTCAAGGGGCCAAAGAGCCGCATGTGGCTTGCGAGCTGAGGTTTGCTGACCACTGATCTAGGTTAATATACCTTTTTTTTTAAAATATATTTTATTGATTTTTTTACAGAGATGAAGGGAGAGGGATAGAGAGTTAGAAACATCGATGAGAGAGAGAAACATCGATCAGCTGCCTCCTGCACACTCCCTACTGGGTATGTGCCCGCAACCAAGGTACATGCCCTTGGCCGGAATCGAACCTGGGACCCTTCAGTCCATAGGGTGATACTCTATCCACTGAGCCAAACTGGTTAGGGCATAGGTTAATACACCTTTGAAGTAAGTCTAACCACACTAAAGAGAGCACATAATCTTGTTAATTGTCCTGTAATTCCATCCTCACCTTACTTTCTCCCACCTCCATGTAATCTTTCTTCCCCTCCCTCCTTAATTTCCTACATAAAAGAAGATGCAACACTGTTATTCCCTAGGCCAGTGATGGCGAACCTTTTGAGCTCGGCGTGTCAGCATTTTGAAAAACCCTAACTTAACTCTGGTGCCGTGTCACATATAGAAATTTTTTGATATTTGCAACCATAGTAAAACAAAGACTTATATTTTTGATATTTATTTTATATATTTAAATGCCATTTAACAAGGAAAAATCAACCAAAAAAATGAGTTCGCGTGTCACCTCTGACAGGCGTGTTATAGGTTCATCAGCACTGCCCTAGGCAGTGGTCAGCAAACTGCGGCTCTTTGGCCCCTTGAGTGTGGCTCTTCCTAAGCCTGAGGAGTACCCTAATTAAGTTAATATATACCTACCTATATAGTTTAAGTTTAAAAAATTTGGCTCTCTTGCCCTGACCGGTTTGGCTCAGTGGATAGAGCATCAGCCTGTGGACTGAAGGGTCCCAGGTTCGATTCCGGTCAAGGGCATATACCTTGGTTGTGGGCACATCCCCAGTAGGGGGTGTGCAGGAGGCAGCTGATTGAGGTTTCTCTCTCTTTGATGTTTCTAATTCTCTATCCCTCTTCCTTCCACTCTGTAAAAAAATCAATAAAATATATTTTAAAAAAAAATTTGGCTCTCAAAAGAAATTTCAATCGTTGTACTGTTGATAATTGGCTCTGTTGACTAATGAGTTTGCCAACCACTGACTAGATGCACAGAAACAATGGATGGGGCTTGCTCAAGGCAAAGATAAATCTTTATTAAAAAGTTATAGGCCTGGAGCAAGACCACCCACCATAACCTGTCTAGTTGGGAATTTATTATTAGGTCACCTCAGATTACTTTCCAAAGCAGCGGTCACCAACCAGTGGTCCGGACCACTGGTGGTCCATGAGGTCCGAAAGGTTGGCGACCACTGTTCCAAAGAACCCCCTTTTGTTTTTGTTTTTTTTAAATATATTTTTATTGATTTCAGAGAATAAGGGAGAGGGATACAGAGAGATAAAAACATCAATGATTAGAGAGAATCATTGATTGGCTGCCTCCTGCACACCACCTCCTGGGGATTAAGCCTACAACCTGGGTATGTGCCCTTGATTGGAATCGAACCCAGTACCCTTCAGTCTGTAGGCCGATGCTTTATGCACTGAGCCAAACCAGCTAGGCCCCTTTTGTTTTTTATCCACATGACTTACCAATAAACATCTTAAGATTTAAGTTGCTCTTAGAAACCACAGTTTCTCTTTGATCTCATTAAGAAAATCTGGACTAGGTTCCCGTCATTAATTCAACAGTTATGATGGAGGATCTACTACATAATCAGAAACACTGGGTGGCCTATTTTGTCAGTGTTTCTGAATTGGCCAAAAAATGGGATACCTGCTTTATTGAAGAGAATTAGGATGCAAGGTTTCATTTTTTTCAAATGTCTAATCTGTCAATTAATTTGGTCCCAAAATAGAGTTGTCATATTATAGTCCAGAAAGATTTTGTTATCCTTTTGAAAATAGGACTATCCAGTAAGAATGACTGAGGAAAATGACTGAACTAGTTCTGTGAATGCAAATACAGAGAGTCTTGTGCCCACAGCACAAAATTTAAGGAGGTATTCATTCTCAATGTCATGCAAGTACTAACCCTGCAATTGCATGATCCTGAAATTGAGTGCCTCCTTAATTTTGCACCCTAGGAATCTCTCCCCAGCCTAATGAGTACTTACTATGCTGAGCTTGTAGGTAAAACATGTAATTTAGCAGTTACCAAGATCATTGTTGATTTTTGTGTGCTCAATCAGTTTTATTTATTTTTACTTTGACTACCTATTGAATCATCTTTCTTTTCTTATAGAACTGTATTGTTGTTGATAAGAATTATCCTTGAATATTGCCAGTGTGTGGATAATATCCCATCTGTTACTACTGACATGCTTACTCGTCTGTCAGATTTATTGAAGGTGGGTATGATTTTACTCTGTTATGGAAACATAGTTGGTAGAAGTAATTCTTTAGGGTGTGACCTATCTTCCAACTGTAAGACATTTCAAGTTTAAGTTATCTTTAACACATTAATTTTGTGACATTTAATTGTGATTAAATCACATGTAACTGGAAGAAGGCCACCTGCTTCTTTCTCACTCTACACTTAGTGATTCCTCATTACACCCATAGAGTTGTTAATGACATTGGAGACAGGAGATGATTTGTTCGTTAGGTGCTGAACATGACTGAGGCCACTTAGGTCAAAAAAACCTGGACTGGTTTCAAATGTGCATGGAAGGAATTCACTGAACTTTACAAAATTCATCTCACTAAGGTTAGCGATTTTTCTTAAATCATTCTTTCAGAACCATTGATGTAAAATAAAAATGTAGTGATAATTTTATTCAGCTGTTTCATATTAACAGATATTTTTAACTGCTAACATGAAGAAAAGGTTTCATTTTTTTCAAATGTCTAATCTATCAATTAATTTGGTCCCAAAATAGAGTTGTCATATTATAGTCCAGAAAGATTTTGTTATCCTTTTGAAAATAGGACTATCCAGTAAGAATGACTGAGGAAAATGACTGAACTAGTTCTGTGAATGCAAATTAAAGGATAATTTCTGAAGAATTGATTTTTAGAATTTCTTAACTTTTTTCTACCAGACAGTAAATATTATCATTTAGGAACACCCTTACCCCCCTTTTTTTTTGTCATTACATAAATAGATCCTACTTGCTCCTACTAGAAAATTCATTTGGTCAATGAATGAGAGGAAAAAGGAATGCATATTTTTAGAACTGTTAGCACATTGCCAACATATGAAGAATAATTTTTAATAAATTGTTGGATTTTTTTCTCTCCTTCCTTTGTTAGTACTTCAATTCAAGAAGTTGTCAGTTAGTTCTGGGAGCTGGTGCACTGCAAGTTGTTGGACTAAAAACAATAACTACAAAAAATTTGGGTATGTATTCTTGAATTTAATTCACAACTGAGGTGTTATAATTACGCTACTGTACTCATTGTGTTTTTAGTAGATGTTCTTGTGGCTCTGACCAAAGGCTTTAAAAGTAGCAAGTGCTACTTCCCCTTTTTATGTATTACCATAATTGAAAAATTAATTTCTGGGAAAATGTTATGAGGAATTTCCACTTTAGCAAGTATGTTATTTGGAAGTTGCACAACTGTAGAAAGTGTTAAGATGCTTTATGTATAAAGTACTTTGGGGTGAAAGATATATGAGTGTCAGGAGAAAATCAGTTGTGCCATCAGCTTCCTCAAGCCAGTAATACAACTTGAGTCCATTTGGAAAATCAGCATGTTCATGACACTATTCAGTACCAAATATGTTGCTTTCTGCTACAATATTCTTCATTTATGAAATAAATTGGGGTTTGTATAAAATTTATTGATGTTTTTTACTTAACTTGATATGTACTTAAAGTTAACTAATATCCTTTTTTGTTTTTCCATGATATGTCTACCACTTGGATCTTTAGCCCTCTCTTCACGCTGTTTGCAGTTAATTGTGCACTACATTCCTGTGATCCGGGCTCATTTTGAAGCCCGGCTGCAGCCTAAGCAATATAGCATGCTTAGGCATTTTGATCATATCACTAAGGTACTTTTTCATGTATTTTCTATGGGAATTGCATACATTTAATTCCTGAATTGTTAAGTATCTTTTTAGATGTATCCCAAGGGCTTTGAAATGCAATGTTATTTCTCATTACAGGATTACCATGACCACATAGCTGAAATATCAGCTAAGCTTGTAGCGATAATGGATAGCTTATTTGACAAGCTGTTATCTAAGGTAATGATTTATATAAATTATTTGGCTTTGCTTAAAGGCATTGTGACTTTTTCATAGTTGTCTAGACAAATCAAATTCTTCAGGGTTTAGAAAAAAACTCAATAAAATCTTCAGATTGCCCAAATAGTTGATATTCATCTTCTAAGGAGTCCAAGGGGAGGGAGGGGTGATTTCAAAGATGAACATCCATATCTTTTCTTTTGGTAAAGTGTTCAAATTGTTTGCTTATTTTAAAAAATTGGGGCAGGCTCCCTCTGGAGCACGCCCATACCTTTCTTTCTCAGACATGCTTTTCTTCTAAGGTTCTAAGGGCCCTCACAAGACTTGCAACCTGGGGAGCAATGGGCAGCAGCAGCTCATCCTGAGCTGAACCTGTCTCCCAGATCCTGTCTCCTTTCCTCTGACTTGGCAGTAAGCCAGTAGCAGCCACACCTTGACTCACTTCTGTCACTGTGACTTCTATTTTTCAGTGAGCCATGGCAGCCCCACTGAGGTTCTCTCATGTTGCTTCTTTTATCCTAAGCCCTTTCTTGTTTCACTGTCCCCAGGTTTAATAAATGTACTTTATAAATAAATGAATAAACAAACAAACAAATAATAAATTAGGTCTTTAAATGTGTTGAGTTATATGCCCTGGATACAAATCCTTTATTAAATATGTGTTTGCAAGTATTTTCTCCCAGTCCGTGGCTTAGCTTTTCATTTTTTTAACTACTTTACAAAGCAGTTTTTAATTTTGATGAACTTAAGTTTGTCATTTTTTTTCTTTTATTGTTCATGTTTCTTGTGTCCTAAGAAATTTTGAATAACCTAAGTAACTAAGATATTTTCCAGTGTTTTCTTCTAGAAGTTTTATTTTTTTAGGTTTTACATATGTCTGTCATCCATTTCTAGTTGATTTTTGTATAAATGGTTGGCCCTTGAATAATGTAGAGATTAGGGACACCCACCTGCTGCAGTTAGAAATTTGCATGTAACTTTAGACCCTGCAAAATCTTAACTAGAGTTGGCTCTTTGCATCTGCAGATTACCAACCCTGTATCAATAAGGCTGACCCTTGAACAAACCAGGATTTTAAAAATATGTGAATAAGTACACCTTCTCAGTTAACGCCTGTGTTATTTAAGGCAGTGGTCGCCAACCTTTCGGACCTCACAGAGCACTGGTGGTCCGCAACCGCTGGTTTAAGGGACAACTGTTGTGCAAAGTATAAGTCAAAGTTTTGTTTTTGTTTTTTTTCAAATCTAACTAGCACCTTTTCTTGAAAAGATTATCTTTTTTATTGGAACCTTTGTTAAAAATCGGTAGACTATCTTTTTGTTAATTTACAACATTTTGGACTCTCTTCTATTCCATTGATCTATATGTCTGTCTGAACATTGATCTATATGTCTGTACTGTAACATTATTCTAAAATCAGGTCATGTGAGTCCTTAGAGGTGAAGCCTTTGCTCCCATCCCTCCTCGAAGAGTAGCCAGCCTCTGCGTTGATTGGTGTAGGATCCTGGGCTTAAGGTGTTTTCCTTCCTTCCCTCTGGAACAGGCATGTTTTGTTTCTAATCCTCACACAGAGACTCCAGGGATGAAAGAGTTTGGTGTCTTTTATCAGAGACTTGAGTTTTTTTTGCTTTGTATAAGGAGAGGGTTCAGGGAAGTAGATGGCATTTGTTACTTTTCCCTGGTGGTACCTCTTCCTGCTTGCATGTATCTCTCTCTGGTCTCCTGTCCTGACTCCAGTGTTGCTGATAAGCACCTACCGAAGACCCTTGTGCATGAGTGCAGACTCTCCTATGGTAGGGTCCTCATGTACTCTATGCTAGTCCACATTTGGCCTTTGAGAATTTGTTAAAATGTTTGTTGTTTTCTTATCTGCTTCTATGTTGATCACTTCTTATTCCTATGAGACAGTTGCTATGTCCCATCTCCTTAGAGGGCTTTGTCACTCTTTGGAATTAGTTCCTTGGTTTCCTTGACCTCTGTTCTCTGATGAGTTTAAGAAGTTATTTATAAATTATTCCAGTTTTTTTCTTGTGGTTAGGGTAGTAGCAGCACACTCTTGCAGCTTTCTAAATTTTAAACAGAAGCACAACTCAAAAGTTTATAAACTAATGAATCACACAGTTGCATTTTAGAAGTGTTAATCATATAGTATGTACAATGGCTTTGAAGTATGTACTCTATTTGAAATACTTTCACTTAATTTTTTTAAGAACTTTTAATTTTATTTTTCAATTACAGTTTACATTCAACATTATTTTGTACTAGAGGCCCAGTGCATGAAATTCGTGCACAAAATTCATGCAGGGGAGCGGGGGGTGGGCCCCTCAGCCCGACCTGCACCCTCTCCAGTCCAGGAACCCTTAGTGGATGTCCTACTGATGGCTTAGGCCCGCTCCCCGTGGTTCTCTGCTCTCTGTGGGGCCTGCCCACCAGTCACCGCAGTGACGGGCAAGCAAGCAGGCCCTACTGTCCGCTTGCTCTCTGCGGGACCTGCTTGCCTGCTTGCTGCCAGTGGGGCTGAAAGGACTGGGGGACTCCAGCAGCAGGCAAGCAGCATGGCTGGACCCACCTGGGGGCAGGTCCGGCTGTGCCGCCTGCCTGCTGCCTCCCACCCTGGGACTGCAGGACTCTGGCAGGGCTGAGGGGACTGGGCGCTGCCATCTTGTGGCTATGAGCACCACCATCTTTGTGACAGTGTGATGGTCAATTTGCATATTCTTGCTTTATTAGATTAGATTAGTTTCAGGTGTACAGTGTAGTGATTAGACAATCATATACTTTACAAAGTTCTTCCCCCAATATTTCCAGTACCCACCTGGCATCATTCATAGTTATTACAATATTATTGACTATATTCCTTATGCTGTACTTTATATCCCCATGACTATGTTGTAACTACCAATTTACTTCTTAATCCCTTCACCTCTTTCACCCTGTCTCCCAGCCTCCCTCCCATCTGGCAACCATTAGCCCGCTCTCTGTTTCACTTTAACTTAATTTTTTTTTCCTTTGAAGACTCAGCAGTCCTGGTGTGCTGCTCAGGAAGCCATCTCTGCTACCATCAAAATGTCCTTCGCCCTTGTTCTTGTATCATGCAATGTCTGCTTTCTGGACCACCAACTAACTTTTAGACACTTAGCTCCCCAAAGGGACTTTTCTCTAATTCATCTTTGTATACTCCAACTAGCAGAGTATCTGACCCCTTCATTCAAGCATACACATACACACACGTATGCATACACATACAAGACACATAAATAGCCATGTACTTACATATAAACATATGTCTGCATACATACACCCAAGGAAATATTTATTCAGAGTTTACTATGTTCCAGGTGGTTTTAGTAAATATTTGTTGAAATAATATCTGGACCCCTGAAAATGCTACTGCATTTTTTTCAGGTGAGAAGAATTGAAAGCCTCAACTGAGACAATTTTGTCCTCGAAAGGATATCCAGAAATATTGGGAACATTTTAGGTTGTCACATTTGGGAAGTGGGATATGGTATGGTAACTAGTGAGGAGAGGCCAAGGATGTTGCTGAATATCCTACAATACGCAGGCTGCCTTTACAACAAAGAATTATCTAGACCCAAATGTCAGTAGTGTAGAGGTTGAGAACCTCTGATCTAGAGTGCCCATATGCAGAATAACTTGAAAGTGCATTTGATGAGACTTAATCTCTGATTTAATACAAGGAAACAAGGAAAAGTAGGAATAGAAACTAAGTTGGAGATTTCAAGTTTGTGTGACCAGGAGGATTGTAATACCAGCAGTAGTCATTGAAACAGGGAAGGAAATCAGGTTTGGGTAAGATCATGGTAAACTTGGTTACGGAATAGAACATCTAGGAAATGTATGACTTAACTCAATAAGGTGGTTCATGACTAGAGCTTTGTTAGAAGTCATGCAGTTGATGAGAGAGAAAAGGGAGGGAAATAAGTAAGGGAAATAAGTAAAGAAACTGCACTTAAGAGGCAGGAGACAAAAAGGAAGGCAAGGAGAAGGGCAACCAGGAAAGCATTCTGCTACATGAGGATAGTATTTCAAGTGTACAAGTGTGTGAAATACTGCAGAGCAATGAGGAAGGGGAACTAGAAGAGTTACTAAATTTAGAAGTTAGGACATCTTTAGTGATTTTTCCAGAGAAATTTCAGAAGATTGTTAATAGTGGGGAAGTGTGGTTTAGGTGTTGGCAATAACCATATTTTTTTAAGGGTTGAGAATAAAGTGGTACAGTATCAAGTTGAGGTGACTAAAGAAATGAGATTGGGGAAGGTAAGATGGAAAGAATAGTATCTTTAGGGAAAGCAGGGGTGAAGAAAGGTCTTGGAGGGTTTTCTCCTTTCCCAGGGCTGACATAACAAATTACCACAGAATGAGTAGCTTAAAACAACATAAATGCATTCTTTCATAGTTCTGGAGGCTAGAAGCTCTAAATCAAAGCATTGCCAGGCCATGCTTCCTCTGAAGGCTTTAGTGACGAATCCTTCCCTACCTCTTCTAGCTTGAGCTTGCTCTCAGTTGTTGGCATTTCTGGGCTCATGGATGCATCACTCCAATCTCTGCTTCTGTCCTCACATGGGTGTCTTCCCTCTGTGTGTCTCTGTGTCTAAATTTCCCTCTCATTTCTTTTATAAAGACACATCAGTGGATTTAGGGCCCACTCTAATCCAGTATGACCTCATGAGGTTCCAAGTAAATGTGAATTTTGGAGAAATACAATTCAGTCCAATATAGATGGGTAGTTAAGATAAGGGGATGTTACCATATGAGATGCCACTTCATAACTACTAGGGTGGCTGAAATAAAAAAGACAGACAATAACAAGTGTTGGTGAGGATATGGAGAAATTGGAACCCTCATACACTGCTAGGTGGGATTGTAAAGTGGTCAGCCACTTTGGAAACATTCTGGCATCTCCTCAAAAAGTTAAACATATAGTTACCATATGACCCAGTAGTTCTACTTCTAGGTATATGCCCAAGAGAATTGAAAAAAATTTACCCACACAAAATAAAATCTGACCATGTATGTTCATAGCATTATTATTCATAATAGCGAAAAAGTGGAAATAACCCTAAATGTCAATCAGTTGATGATTGGGTAAACTGTGGCAGTTGTACAATAAAATATCATGCAGTCATAAAAAGTATGAAGTACTGACACTTTCTGCAACATGGAGGAACCTTGAAAGCTCTATGCTAAGTGAAAAAAGCCAGTCATAAAAAGCCACATATTGTTTGATTCCATTTATTGAGATTAGTGGTTGCCAGGGGCTAAGGAGAGGGAGGAATAGGGAGTGACTGCTAATGAATATGGGATTTCTTGGAGTGATGAAAATGTTTGGAAATTAGTGGTGATGATTATGAAACTGAGTTTACTAAAAACCAATTGGTTGTATACTTTAAAAAAGGTAAATTTTATGGTATGTGAATTATGTCTTAGAGCTGTTATTAATAAGAAAAGCAAGGGGATGTTTGATGTATTTCTAGGCTGAAGAGAGACAAACCCTTGGATGGTCACAACATTGCTTATCTTGGTCCAGTCACATGGTGACTTCTACCTGCTACAGCAGTATATTGGAGCTCATGATTTTAATAAACTATATAAGTTTAGTATATCTAAAATAGATTTAGCACAAATATGCCTCATAAATAAAAATAGTATATAATTTAAGCTGTGAATTCTAAAAGGTGAACCAGAAGATGATTATATAAATCATACCAGGTATTGTTCTAGATGTAAGAATAAGAAAATGAATTTACCTAAGTTTAAATTTTTTAGTATAGACCATTGTGGAACATGTCTTTCCTTAACCTTAGGGTAAATATCCTACATAATAAAAGCCTAATATGCTAAGTGTCTGTTCGTCCGTTCAACCAATCAAAGCGTAATATGCTAATGATATGCTAAGGCCGCTCAACTGCTCACTATGATGTGCACTGACCACCAGGGGGCAGACTCTCCAACCGGTAGGTTAGCTTGCTGCTGGGGTCCAGCCAATCAAGACTGAGCGAGACGGACACGCCCTGGAGCCCTCCTGCGGTCTCTCCCCGGGTGGCCAACCTCCTGCATCCCTCCCTGGCCCTGATTGTGCACCAGTGGGGTCCCTCGTCCTGGACTGCACCCTCTCGCAATCCAGGACCCCTTGGGGGATGTTGGAGAGCTGGTTTCAGCCAGATCCTGCAGGCCAGGCCAAGGGACCCCACTAGTGCACGAATTCATGCCCTGGGCCTCTAGTGATTATTATATTGGCCTACCTACAAAAGAAATAGAACATTTTTTTTTTCAAAAATATATTTTATTGATTTTTTACAGAGAGGAAGGGAGAGGGATAGAGAGTTAGAAACATCAATGAGAGAGAAACATCGATCAGCTGCCTCCTGCATGCCCCCTACTGGGGATGTGCCTGCAACCAAGGTACATGCCTTTGACCAGAATCGAACCTGGGACCCTGGAGTCCACAGGCTGATGCTCTATCCACTGAGCCAAACCGGTTAGGGCACATTCTTAAAATCATGTTTTAAAAATCTGTTCATTTGAAGGGCCCACTTTAATGCTTCATCATTGTATATTGAGACAGATTAGTAGCTAACATTTGAGTATTATTTTGTATCAAGCACTGTTTTGTCTTCTTATAGACCATCTTCTAAAATCCTCATAGCAAGTCCTTTGAGATGTAGAGAAATGAGGGAACTTGCCCAATGTCACATAACTAACAGCTGGAAGAACGGGGATTTGAACCCAAGCAGGCCATCTTAAGGAAAGCAGCCTGTGTTCTTAGCCACAAGGTTATGTGTCTTTCTCAAAGTAGATTAGGATATTTAATGAAAAGTTCTTGAGATTTGCAGGGGTAGATCAGATCACAGTTGAAGTGTGAGCTTAAGCACTATATTAGATGTATAGGGGCAGAAAATCTTTGTCTGTGGGGACATTAACATAATTTTCTTTATTTTTCCCTGCCAGTATGAGGTGAAAGCTCCTGTTCCTTCTCCCTGTTTCAGGAATATTTGTAAGCAAATGACAAAAATGCATGAAGCTATAATTGACCTCCTTCCAGAAGAGCAAACACAAGTAAGTAGTAATTCCTAAAACTACTTTTTATATATAATATATAATATGCATGTAGAATTAGAATGTTTTACATACTTTTGGCACAATTAAGCTTAGTTCATATTCTAATATGATTATATTTTAGGTTGTTATATTGACTTATGGAATATAGATAAAAATTTCTGATTTCACAGTGCCCCTCACTCTAAGTCAAAGCAATAATAGCTTTGCTATATGGTTAGCAATTGTAAAAAGCACATTTTCCATTTGTCCATTGGGTATTAGAGATCCCAGATTGTGTTTACACCAATTATTATGTTATTAGCTTAAAAATCAGAATTGTCATTTATCAATGAATATGAAGTATATTATTAACCCAAATTGGATAGGGGAGGAATTAGTGATAGTTAATAATCAGATGGCACATAAAGTAAATTAATGTCTTATTAATGTTTATATCAGCATAAGTGATCTATAATAGGCACAAACCAGGAAAAAGCAAAATGTGTAGTCTTTAGCACCTTCCACCTATGAAGTATCCACCTACTGTCCCTACTGTCTTCGTCTACAGAAATATCACAGAGTTCTCTTCACTTTTTTTTTGATTAGTTAAATCTTTATTGTTCAGATTATTACATTTGTTCCTCTTTTCCCCCCCCCATAACTCCCCTCCACCCAGTTCCCACCCCACCCTCCTCCCTCACTACCCACCCACTGTACTCATCCATAGGTGCATGAGTTTTGTCCAGTCTCTTCCCGCATTCCCCTCACCCCTTTCCCCCCCTCAAGAATAGTCAGTCCACTCCCTTTCTATGCCCCTGATTCTTTTATAATCACCAGTTCATTCTGTTCATCAGATTATTCACTTGATTTTCAGATTCACTTGTTGATAGATGTGTATTTGTTGTTCATAATTTGTATGTTTACCTTTTTCTTCTTCTTCCTCTTCTTAAAGGATACCTTTCAGCATTTCATATAATACTGGTTTGGTGGTGATGAACTCCTTTAGCTTTTTCTTATCTGTGAAGCTCTTTATCTGACCTTCTATTCTGAATGATAGCGTTGCTGGATAAAGTAATCTTGGTTGTAGGTTCTTGGCATTCATCACTTTGAATATTTCTCGCCACTCCCTTCTGGCCTGCATTGTTTCTGTTGAGAAATTAGCTGACAGTCGTATGGGTACTCCCTTGTAGGTAACTGACTTTCTTTCTCTTGCTGCTTTTAAGATTCTCTCTTTGTCTTTTGCTCTTGGCATTTTAATTATGATGTGTCTTGGTGTGGTCCTCTTTGGGTTCCTTTTGTTTGGGGTTCTCTGCGCTTCCTGGACTTGTAAGTCTATTTCTTTCACCAGGTAGGGGAAGTTTTCTGTCATTATTTCTTCAAATAGGTTTTCAATATCTTGCTCTCTCTCTTCTTCTGGCACCCCTATAATTCAGATGTTGGTACGCTTGAAGCTGTCCCAGAGGCTCCTTACACTATCTTCATACTTTTGGATTATTTTTTCATTTTGCTTTTCCGGTTGGGTGTTTTTTGCTTCTTCATACTTCAAATCTTTGACTTGATTCTTGCGATCCTCTAGTCTGCTGTTGGGTCTCTGTATAATATTTTTTATTTCAGTCAGTGTATGCTTAATTTCTAGTTGGTCCTTTATCACAACCTCGAGGGTCTCATTAGATTTCTTGTAAGTCTCATTAAGTTTATCAGCAGTTTCTAGAAAATTCTTGAAAAACCTTAAAAGTGTGGTTTTGAACTCTATATCCAGTAGTTTGCTTTCCTCCATTTCTGTCATTTGTGTCTTTTTTCTTTGTCTCCGCATTTTTTATGCTTCCCTATGTTGATAAAGTGGTTTTCTGTGCTAAGTGTCCACAAAGGGACCAGTGGTCAGCCTCCCCAATTACCTGAGGAGGACACTCTTGGTGCACCCCTGTGTGGTCTTTGTGCACAGTCTTGTTGTAGTTAAGCCTTGATTGTTGTAGGTATCACTGGGAGGAATTGACCTCCAGACCAATTGGCTGTGAGAATCAGCTGTGTCTGCAGTGGGAGAACTTCTGTGCTGGAGACACCCCTCCGGGGCAAGACTTGCTTCAATGGGGCTTTGGTGCTCACTGAGTCTGCCCCCTGAGTGTGTCCTTTATGGTTCCATGGAGCTGCAATCTGGATGGTGCCACTCTGACCTCTGGGTGGCTCCTGGATCTCTAGGGAGATGCTAATCTAGCCTCTGCCGTAGGCTATCCAGCAAAAGCCTCCCTGCAGGGCTTGGGCAGGGCGGGTCCCACGGGATCAACAGGGCGGGGCTAGCAGTTATGGCTGCTCTCAGAGGCTCCGCTTCTCAATGTCCTGGTAATCGCTGCAAGCCCCTTCGAGAGAAAGCTGCCCTCGAGTTCCGACCATTGCCAGACAGTCCCACTTCTCCCGTATGAGTCTGGGTCCCCAGAGACTCGCCTGGAACTGGAGCTCAGAGCCTAAGACTCTCTTCCGATTGAAAACGACAACCGTGCCCTCAGCCTCCAGCCCACTCCGCATGCACCTCCACACCTTAGTATTTTACTTCTGCACTGCGCCTCCTCTGAGTCTCGGTATGCTTTTCTCTTTCCTTCTAGTTGTAGAATTTCCACTCAGCCAGCCTTCCTGTGGTTCTGGATGATGTCCGTTCCGTCTTTTAGTTGTATTTTTGAAGTGGTTGTTCGAGGCAGCAGACTCTGGTGTTTACCTATGCCGCCATCTGGTTTCTCCTCCCCTTTTTTTTTTAAATAAGAGAAAGTTTATTTAGAAAGTCACAGAGGTAGAAAAAGTGAGGTGTAGAAGAAATGGGCTCAGGAAACAAGTTACAGAGGCAAAAGAAGGGCTCTTGGAGCTTAGAAGAAAGAGAGGCAAGAGTAATGCCTGGGGGACGGGGACAGGGGAAGGCACTGGCTTGAGAGAGACAGAGAGAGCCAGTCTCTTCACTCTTCAGTGACATTCCTACTTCCCATTTCCCTTGGTTCCCTCTCAGTACTTCAAAGGTTCCAGTATTATTTTTTTTCCAGTCTTCTTTACCCACATTAGTTTAGCTTATTCACTTATACCAGACTAGAGGCCAGGAGCATGAAAATTCATGCAGCGGACAAGGGGGGGGGGGTGGTCCCTCACCTCAGCCTGCCCCCTCTCACATTCCAGGAGCCCTCAGGGGCGGGGGGCGACCCGGTGATCAGGGGAAGGCGATGCTCCATCACACTTCTGCTGATGCCACTGCCAGCAGTGCAAGCCTTGGCCGGCTCTGGTTACCTGAGCCTCGGGCGGCCCTGGGCAGCTGGGGGGCTGAGGGTACTGGGGGACTCCGGAGGCAGGTGCCCCGGTGGGGCTGAGGGGATTTGGTGCCACCATCTTGTGGCTGTGGGCGCCACCATCTTTGAGGGTGTGGCAGCAATTAGTATATTCCCTTCTTATTGGCTGTGGGCACCACCATATTTGAGGGTGTGACATTCAGTTAGCATATTCCCTCTTATTGGCTGTGGGTGCCGCCGTATGTGATGGCATGAGGGTCAATTAGCATATTCCCTCTTTATTAGATAGGCTAGTTGTAGAATGATAGTGTTATAATCCTAGTTTTTGTATGACGTATAAACATAACTTTCACTGGGATTTTTGCTATTCAGACAAGTTTGTTATTTCAATTTGTCTAATTTGTTCAATTCATGGAAATGTTATTTGGGAGCAAAGGTAGCTTTCTTAGTTACTCTTGCTCCTGCTAGTCTCCTTTCCCATGCCACTTCAGGCTTCCATCTTACATACTAGCACATTCATGCTTCCGTAACTTTTCATTAATCATACTGACCTCATGATTTGGGGCTGAGGATTGAGGAGGATCCATAAGATATGGAACAACCACTATGGTCTCTCTTTCTTTCTCATTTCTCTTTAGCCAAGCCACCCTTTCCACTCCACATATAAGATACCCTACCTCTGACTAACATGATTTGCCATCTGAGTTCTAATTTTAGAGCAAGGCTTAACCAGGTCAGGGAGCTGGGCATACAGGTATCTCATGTGTTTTTATCTACATCATAATTTAAAGGGAACTCTTGTCAAAGCTGGGCAAAAATGACAAAACATTTTCCATAGATTAATTGTATATAATTTCAGGTCAGATATTTCCCAAAGAATTATTGGGCCATTGCATTAAAAAGTGTGCCTGCAGGAGCAATAAAATACTTTCAGGTAATTTTACCAGGTTGGAAGGATAAAGGTGTCTTTGCCTCTACTGTTAAGGCTTTTTTGTTTTCTCTGTCACATTCATAGTTAATATTTTACAGAATTCTCTATTTCTTTTTACCTGTTGTGATATATGCCATTTACATATCTCAGAGGACTTCTTCTAAGGGGCAGAAAGGCATTAATATGTCATATCACGAAAAGAAATAGTACTAAAAAAGGGAAAAAGAGCTTTTATTCAGCTAAAGGCAAAAACTTACACTGAACTAGCAATAAAATATTTTCAAGGGAGCATTTTAAAGATATATGCCAAAACAAAGCTTATTTAAAATTTTTTTCTGATTTGATATTGATAACTCCTGATACTTTTGTCTTCTATTTCAGTAGAGCTTTAAGAAACTTAAGTTTTATTTATTTTCCAGATGCTATTTTTAAGAATTAATGCAAGTTACAAACTCCACTTGAAAAAGCAGTTGTCTCATTTAAATGTGATAAATGATGGAGGACCTCAAAATGGGTATGTTTTCAAAATATTTTTACTATGCCCATATCAAATTGTTATATTGGTTTTATTCATTATGTTGTCCTTTTCTATAATCATGCTGGAGCCCAAAAATTATAAAATCAGCAACCTTTTGCTTTTTTCCTCTCTGTGGAGATAATATATATATCTATCTACGTTAAAGTGTTTTTATAAATGGTCAATTACTTACCTGACCTTATATGTCTGTTTTGAAGCAGTGTGGTGGGTTAGTAGCAACTCCTTAGATTACCCAATAGTCTTCCCCTATCCAGACAGAACTCAAAGCCTTACTTTGTAGCTGTGTCACCATTATTTTATAAATAACCCTTGTGCCTTATTTATAAAATGAGGATAAAGTCTGCCTAATTCCTTCATAGAGTTACTAAAAGTGTGAATATGTACATACTTTTCTTTAGGGTACATATTTACAAGTGGATTAGAGCAAATGTACATTTCCACTCTACTAGGTATTGTCAGAAGTTCTGCCAAATGGCTGTACCAAGCTTACACTCCCACCATTTCTCTCTCTGTATCCTGCCAACATTTGCTGTTAGGATTTTTTGTTGCCAATATGATGGAAGACAATGGTATTTTATTTTGATATGCATTTTCTAATGCTTGTTATATTTTCATATATTTATTAGTCATTCAGAGTCCTCATCTTGTGATTTTTCCTGTTCACATTCTTTGCCCATTTTTCTTGATTTTAGCTTTTTCCATATACCCTCAACTTAATCCTTTGTTGGTTATATATGTTGCAAATGTCTGGTTTTATGTTTATCAGTTTTTCAGTTTATATGTAAACATTTTCAATACACTTTCTCATATAGACTAAAAATAGTGTTTATTAAACATAACGATATTTTAAAATGTAGATTTGTATTTAATTTTAATGTAGGGTTATTGCCTTAGAAAATCTGTTCTTTTTTTTTTAACTATTGCTTTCAGTTCCAATGTACTTACCATATTATCACAAGAAGTATAATGTGAATTTTTAAATAGATTTTAAAGCACCCTAAATTTATTTCAAACAAAAAATATGGTCCTTAGTAAATTCTGCCATATGATAAAAGGTAAAACTTAAGTGCATAAGTCCAAAGGTGTTTATAAATTAGACTGTAGTGCAAATATTAAGGGTACTTGAATACCTTTGCCCCAAGGTAGTAGTTTAGCAATCCCGAACTTACGTGTTCATTAAAATATTAAAGCCAGATTCCCTCCTTTTACAAACCACTAAATCAAAGTTTCCTATTTGTTTTTCCATGGGCCACATCTTTCAAAATATAATCAGACCCACCCTGTTTTTTATGCATGGAGCTTTGATATTTGTGTTTAAATGTTCTTGCCAGGAATATTTTTTTTTTTCCAGAGATAGGCATTGTGACAGATCAGTGTAATTCTCTTTTCATCAAGTGTTGTATTGATTATCAATACTGTGATTTTATTAGTCATAAACATGTATACTTTAGTGGCAACTGATCAAAAAACAGTTTAACCTGTTATTTTCTCTATTTTATAAAACAAATCTATTGGGCAGAATTAATTATGAAATGGAGTCCAACCTGCATTGGTTTATTCTTTTTATAGACATTTATTGTTGAAATAGAACATATGAAAAAAAAAAAAAAGAAATAGAACATATGATAGCAGGAATCCTGCTAAGATATATTGATTGACATTTGGTCCCTAGGAAATCTGAATTTTAAGTAACAGTCGAGCAGCTAGGCTAGGACTTTTGACTCTGTGAGCATTGCTACTTTATTTGAATAGAAAGTGTGAGATTAAAAATAATTTTCTCTCCAATGTTTAGGTTGGTCACAGCAGATGTAGCTTTTTACACTGGAAATCTTCAAGCCTTAAAAGGCCTTAAAGATTTGGACCTAAATATGGCTGAGATCTGGGAACAGAAGAGGTGATGACATACTGGAAAACTGGGTAGCCTGACCATAGGATGTATGTGTTTAAGAAAATATGGATGCCTGTGATTCAAGAACTGAACCTGGAACCCAAGTGAACTGGGGTAGGAAAAGGGGAAAAGGAAAGTGTCAGTGATGGGAAGCTGGGATTCAGTGGGATCTACAAGGAATGCCAGTTTTATGCTTCCTTCAGTGAGGAATAACTGATCAGGTGTCTATATTTTTCATTCTCTCTGGAAACAGACTCAGGTTTCTTTGGACCAAATCCAAAAGAACACATAGCTGTAACACAGCTGTAGTTGACTAGAATGCTCTGTATACTTTATATTAAAAAATGCTTTGCATTTCTTCCAGTGCAATGAAATTCATATGGTGTCCCACCTTTATTTAATGATGGTACAATTTAAAATATTAAAATCTTAGTCAATCTCTGTAGAAAGTTTTCTCTATGAAAGTAAAACTGTTTGAAAATTATTTTTTTACAGATCTTTCTATAAAAAAATAAACATCTTTTGATTGCTTGGATTTAGGAATTCAGTCTTTTTTCAGTGACCAGTGTCAAGGTTTAGGCTTTGTGTGCTGCATATTGAATCCTTCTACAACCACTGGGTGAAGCCTCCAGAACAGTCTAAATACTTGAAAGGATGATCACAAGTAATAAAGAATAAGGTATTAGTGTTCATTTATGAGCTAATTTAAATACTTTTCAGAAGTGATATATGAAAGCCTGCAGTTTAATAGTTGTATTTTTATAAAAAATATGAAGGGTTTTTTTGCCTTTTTTATTTCTAGCAGAGGTAAGAATACATTTTTATATATTCTGCCTACTTATGAGTTTTCATTTTAACATGTAACATATGCGGTGTGGCTCCCTTGGGTTCTTGTTTTTAAGTTACTTTCGATGTGTATATGAACAAAGACCAGGGAGAAACAGAAAATATAAGCTGCTGTGTTGGGGCCAGAAATACAAGGTGATGAGTAAGTTATTTAAAGACTTTTTTTTTTTAATCCTCACCTGAGGATGTTCATTGATTTTAAAGAGAGAAAGGGAAAGAAAAAGTATGTGTGTGTGTGGAGTGGGGAGGGAGACATAAATTGGTTGCTTTTCATTCACGCCCCAACCGGGTACTGAACCTGCAATCTAGATATGTGCCCTGTCCGGGAATTGGACCCACAACCTTTCGGTGTATGGGATGATGCTCCAACCAACTGAGCCACACCGGCCAGGGTAAACCTTATAAGTTACCTTCAAAATAGAATCAGCAGCATGCTACAAATGAAAGTGCCTGTGTCTCACCTCACACCAGGAATCTTGCCTAACCCTATCAGAGTGCCTAACTTTGTAGTGATTATGTACAATGAAATAGCCTTATTTTGTGCTCTTTGATCTCCTAAAAGGAAAGCCTGTTTTCTTTCCTTTATCATTACAGAGGTATGTCATTGGTTCTTAACTGTCTGTCTAAAATAAAGCTGTAAACAATTACCAGACTTTAAAAGACTTTTTTAATAGTATACTGTAAACTTTAAACAAGCAGCCGACTGAAAAATAAGTATGGAAGAATTGGAAAATGTAATTGATTCTTAAAGAAAAGCAACAAATTATACTATTAGTAGACCTGATTTGAAAGGCTATTCAAGAACATTTTTCAGTGACAAACAAGCTTCAAGGAAAGGGAACTTTTGAAAAAGTTATACCCCCACCCATTATACTAGAGAACAAGGATGTGAAAGAAATGCCCTACCTCTGCCCACCCCAGCTCTTTCAGCTGGGAAAAGAAACACCACTTTGTTTCAATAAATGGAGAGCCTGTGGAAAAGCATGGCAGGCACCCCAGTTTTAGAACTAAATGAAAGGTACTAATAAGTACCTTCAAATGTAATTCCTATGGAAATAATGATATGGTTAAGATTCTTAGAAATGCAAAAACTTGATTTTTTAGGTAACTGGCCAGTGAATATAAATATTCCAAGAATAAAGCTTCCAACTGATATAGTAACTATTTAGCAAGAGTATACCATTTTTCTTCACCATTTCATAAAGTTAACATTGAAAAGTATAAGTGTACACATGTATTGCTTCACAGCTTTATTTCTGAAATCACAAGCAATTCAAAGTGACCATCATTGAGGCCTCTGTTAAAAGATTTCCCAGCAGAGCTGCCCCAGTTTTAAGATTAAACAATATTGCACTTTAAGATGAACTTCCAGGATCCTCTTCCAAGAAGAAAAGTATTGCTTCCATCTGTGCTTTTCTTAGACTAAAATAAAAGCATACTGCAGAAAACTCTACTTTAAAAATTAACACTGCAGGTACAGTAAACACAATAAAAGTACCTGCCTATTATAGAATGCTAGAGAACATTTTGTTGTAAGAAACTAGCCCATGATTAGTATAAAGTGTACACAGTATTTTTTCATTTCAGTGGTCCAAGATACGAAGGTTCCCAGATACAATCTTGTTCTCTAATACTGCTCCAGGTGGGATGTCAATTCGGTCACCATGATTGGCAATGATGATAACTGTTCCCTAAGTGACAGGGAAAACAAAAAGCAAGAGTGTAATTGCAACTGAAGTTGAAATGCAATTGATTTTTCTTACAATTATCAAGTTTATGTAGAACTCTACTGGTAATGGAGTAACTGTATAAACATTAAACTTGAAAAACAAGTAACATGTTAAGGAAAACTGTAATGTGTCCTCTGTATCAATCCTGGCAGTAGTTCCAGATTCCTCGAATGATCAGAGGTGGTACGAGGAGTGCGAAGTGAACCCAGTGCCACAACATGACTGGCCCTTTCAAAGAACTACTTGCAAAGCCACCAGCATTATTTGCCTTCACAAGGAAACTGAAGGGTGCTTAGTTTATATTTACATAACAGTTTACAGATAAATTTTTCATATCTTAAGTGAAACTGTTTAGATGAGGCAATATCAACAATAAAGTTCTTTATATATGTGTGATGTGTGGTTGTATATATGTAGATATCTCATACATATATATTTGTTTTTTTCAAAATCTTCATTTAAGTAACTGAAATCTAGGTATGGGATTAAAAAAATATACTTGATTAGAAAAAGCTATTGTATCTTTGGTTCTGAGTTTTAATACTTATACCCATAGTCCTTCTTATGCTAGTCTGTAATGATGGTTATAAAAGTACCCAAGTACTAAGTAATGTGAATGACTATTGTTTATAATAGTTGATGACAATAGATTAGTTTAACAGGAATAGATTATACTCAGTATAAATGAAGTTCTCACTTTTCTACTTTCATTTAGATTCAAAGTCATCTTTAGTGAACTAATGCTAATTTAATAATGATTCTCTTTTAAAGATTGTCCTATTTCAATAAAATAGTGCCAGCCCAATTATTTACTAGTGTTTGCTTTCCATTTGAATGCTGTATTCAACAAAATTCCTATATACAACTATTATGATTGTATTTTAATTATGCTGTATATCAATGGAAGACACTGTTAACACTAAATACTGTAGTAAGCTATTTCATTTTTAAAATGTATTTCTATCTTATAAATATCTGGTACAGACTAGGAAGTATTCCTTAAAATAAAGGTAAATTTAGGACTAGTAAATGAAACCTGTTTGTAAAGCTGTAAGATCTATAAATTTCATAACAACACACCTTTAATGAAACGTGCTTGCCAAATGTTACATCTCCTGAAACTGTGAGGTGATCCAATTCAAGCATATCTGGTATACTTTCGAATCTCCTTAGGTAATCCTGAACCTGAAAGAAAAATAGAAATATATAAATTGTTTCAAAAATAGGTTAAAGGTTAAAATAACAGAATAGTTTAATGAAACATTCTGTTTATGGCCAAGTTTAGGCCCTCTATTGGAAGAACCTATTTGTTAAGCACTCGCGATATGCTAGATCCTGTGCAGGAGAGACCAGGGGATAGAACATTGTCCCTACCATCCGTTTACAATACAGCTCAGCAGATCAGACATCCTATATAATAAAAGCCTAATATGCAAACTGTCCCCTTGGGTGGTGGTTCGACTGCTCGCTATGACGTGCACTGACCACCAGGGGGCGGCGCTGGCAGTGGGCAGCTGTGGAGGTGCTGCTGGCCCCTATCAGAGCAGGACTGAGAGCAGGACAGCGGCAGGATGGTGGAGCAAGTGAGCGGGCGGCACCAGGCCAAGGCGGATGTGAGCGGGACCCGACTGCCCCGCAGACGTTGACCGGCAGTGGTGGTGGGGGTTGGGGCTGCCACCTGGCTTCCAGGTGCTGAGGGAGCCCGTAGGGCCCTGACTGACTGCCCTGCAGGCAGGATGGTGGAGCAGGTGAGGAGGCAGCACCAGGCCAAGGCCAGGTGCTAGGCGGGGCTGGGAGCGCAAGCTGGGGGGTGCAAGCTGAGGCCCGATCTCCACAGGCCACCCTGAGGGACCCCAACAGTGCAAAAATTTGTGCAGTGGGCCTCTAGTTAGAAAAATAAAAAGATAACCAACTAACATGCTAAGAGCCAGATGAGTAGTTCAGATAATCTGAAGTTGGAAAAAGAGATCATGGTCTGAAGCAAACTAGACTGGAGCTGGGCTTTAGGGATGGATAGGATTCAGAAGAAATGGAAGAGCAACTGCCGAATTATCGTTATAAATCATCACTGTCTTTGCTTCCTATTTCCTTATATTTATAGGCACTAGAAATTGTCCTATAGGGCCTTATTTCCTATTTTGCTGCGAAAAACAGAAGCAATCAGAAAATTTACTCTTACACCACCACTGCTACCACCGCCACCATCACCCCTTTTTTGTCCCCCACCCCCACCCATTACTCTGTCCCTTCTAATATCCTACTCCAACTTAAGACCAACCCTTCTTAGGCCTGTTCAAGAATACTGTCCAGCAATTCTCCTTTCTCCTTCAGTGTTTTTTCCCTCTTGATTGCAACAATTCACATCAACGTATAGACATGTTATAAAGTCTCCCATCTTTACAAAATCAAAACAAAAAACCTCTCATATCCCTTTCTATGGCACCATTTTTGTTTCTCTTCAAGGCAAAATTCTTGGATTCATATCTCCAATTTCTCTTCTAGTTCCTTTTAAATATATTCCAGTCAGCCTCCAAAACCTCTATACTGATCAATCTAATGGTAAATTCTCATTCATCTTACTTGATTCAGAAGTAGCACTTGACCAAGATGAACACTCCCCCTTTTCTTCATTGGGCTTTCAGGACGTATATATTCATTGTTTTCTACCCAGTTCCTAACCTGTCTCTCTTCAGTCACCTTTGCTGCTTCCTCCATCCCCATCTCTAAGCCTTGGAGTACCTCAGAGCTCAGTTCTTGGACTCCCCCACCCCCCCAACTCACTCTCTAGGTGATCCTTATCTTATGGCTTTAAGTACCTAAGCTGACAACTCTCAAATTTATCTGTCTCTTCTAGATCTCTCTTCTGAGCTCTAGACTTAAACATTCAGTTTCTCCATTTGAAGGTCCAATAAGTATGGTGTCTCCAAAACTTACTGCTCATCCTGCTCTGCCTAAACCTACCCTACCCATGCCTTCCCTATTCAGTAAACGATAATTCCATGTTTCCAGTTGCACAGGCTAAAACCCTTGGAGTCATCCTTCCTCTTCTGTTGTACCCTTTCATCTATTCCAACAGCAAATCCTAGAGGTACAACTTTCAAAATATCTCAAAATGTCAACATTTTTCATTATTTCCACTGCTACCACCTTAGTCCAAGCCACGGTTTCCTTTTGCCAGGATTCCTGCAACAACCTGTTCCCCAGTCTTGTTCCCTGATTCACTCCTCAGCTCACTTTTTTCTCTTGTGGCTTCTCATCCACAAGAGAAAAAAGAAAGCCACACTCCCATTACTTAATTACAAAGTTCTACATAATCCACCCGCCCCCAGTTCCTTACTTGCTTACTCTGCTCCAGTCGTATTATACTCTCAAACGTTCCTAAAACATGTTCTTCCTCAGAGCAACTAGCTATTGCCCGCTCAGCCCCTGTTCGCAAATCGAGGCAGCAAATGTTCTTTATCTCCTGCAGGATATGGAAGAGGCTAGGGAGAATGGGAGGGAATTGAAGGGTGCATGAGGCTAGGTGAAATACGGATGGCAATCCCATCTCAGGATGTGAGAAGATAGTGGATCCTCGTATCACTAGGATTTTCCCAGCCCAACCAGGCTGATAAAAGAGGTACCTAATAATTGGGAGACTTCTAAGCTGCCAGACGCTATCCTGGAAATTCCAGCCCAGCCTCAGGACCTAGAATCCTCCCCCGTCAATATAGGAGGCGGTACACACATCCACACCAGGTGGCACTAAACCACAACCAACACTAGCATAGACTTGGGTGGCACAGCAGGACTCCACAGTCCAGCCACACGGCTCACCCTGCCACTGCATTAACCTCTCAACATTTTACGTGATTAATTTTTTTGGATTCCACTTATGATAGGGTAGGGGTAACTGTACTTACTGTTCCTCCTGCCTGGAATACTGTTCAATCCAGACACTTGCATGACACTCAATTTCTCGTAAGGCTGTCTCTGACGACTCATGTAAAATGACACCAACACTACCCATGCACACATTCCTATTTATTTTTCTACCACTTTGGCATAATGTACATTCAGTTTATTTGCTTATCATCATCCTTATCTTACTAGACCAGAGGCGGGGATGTCTGACCCATGGGCTGTATAAGGCCCGCGAAATCATTTGGTCTGGCCCTGCCAAAGCAACCACAGGCCAGACTCTAAATTCAATAAATCTAGAAGCTTTTTTCATAGCCAAAGAAATTTACATTAAGTGAATTATATTAATCGAATGAAGTTATAAATACCCAAATAGCCCTTGGCAATAAATAAATAAATAAATAAAAATTCCCCACCCCTGCACTAGATCCATGAAAGCAAGGATTTTAGTCTTTATTATTTAAAATATATTTTTATTGATTTCAGAGAGGAAGGGAGAGGGAGAAGCATCAATGATGAGAGGGAATCATTGATCAGCTGCCTCCTGCACACCCCACACTGGGGATCAAGCCCACAACCCCGGCATGTGATCTGACCTGGAATCGAACCATGGCCTGGTTCAGAGGTCAATGCTCAACCACTGAGCCACACAGGCCGGGCCACACTATGCCTTTTCCCCCAGTTTTTTATTTCAAGAAAAACGATTTTAAATATAATGTTACATACAATAAACCTTAATATTTCAAGAGAAACGATCTTAACTATAATGATGTTACATGCAATAAACAATATCTCAAGAAAATGATTTTAAATATGTTAAATGCAATAAACACCAATTCAAGAAAAATGATCTTATCTTATATGCAATAAACATTAATATTTCAAGAAAAGGGCTTTAAGTATATTACCAAAACTGTACTAACATAGTATGATATCACAAAAGTTGTAGGAAATATTAAAAATCTGCATATAACAGAATTATTTCTTTTATATTTTGGAATTTTTTTTCCCCTCTGGCTCTATTTTTGTTCATCATGTTGTTCATTATATTCCACAAATGAATGAGATCATTGATATTTATCTTTCTCCAACTGGCTTATTTCGTTTAGCATAATGCTCTTAAAGTCTATTTTGTCAGACATGAGTATTGCTACTCCAGCTTTTTTTCTTTTCCATTTGCATGGAAAATTTTTTTCCATCCCTTCACTTTCATCCTGTATGTGTCTTTTTTTTGAGGTGGGTCTCTTGTAGACAGCATATAGTTGGGTCATGTTTTTGTATCCATTCAGCTACCCCCATCTTTTGATTGGAGCATTTAATCCATTTACATTCAGAGTTATTATTGAGAGGTACTTATTTATAAAAGCCATTTTATTCTGTATGGCTAGGTTTCTCTGTTTCTTCTTCTCAGCAATCCCTTACAGCAATCCCTTTAGCATTCCTTGTAATGTTGGCTTGGTGGTGGTGAACTCCTTTAGCCTATTTTTGTCAGGGAAGCTCTTTATTTGACCGTGTATTTTGAATGATAGCCTTGCTGGATATAGTAATCTTGGTCTCAGATCCTTGCTTTCCATTATTTGAGTACTTCATGCCATTCCCCTCTGGCCTGTAGAGTTTCTGATGAGAAATCAGGTGTCAGCCTTATGGGAATTCCTTTGTAGTTAAGTTTTCTTTTCTCTTACTGCCTTTAAGATTCTTTGTCTTTAATTTTTGGCATTTTAATTATGATGTGTCTGGGCATGGGTCTGTTTGGGTACTTCTTGTTTGGGGTTCTCTGTGCCTCCTGAACTTGTGTGACTTTTTCCTTTACCAGGTTAGGGAAGTTTTCTACCATTATGTCTTCAAACACCATCTCTGTTGCTTTCTCCCTTTCTGGTACACCTACTATTCTAATATTGTTACGTTTCACATTGTCCCACAGCTCTCTTAAGCGGTCCTCCTGTTTTTTAATTGTTTTTTCTTTTTGGTTCTCTAATTGATTGTTTTCAATATTTTCAACTGTCTTCTAATTCACTGATTTGATCCTCAGCTTCCCCTAATCTGTTGTGTATTCCTTCTAATGTGTTCTTGGTGTTATGTCATTCTTTATCTCAGACTGTTCTTTTTTCATAGTTACTATATCTTTTTTCATATTGTTGAGCATTTTTAACATCATTACTTTGAACTCTGTTTCATATAACTTTATCTCTGCTTCATTTATCTCTTCTTCTGGAGAATTCACTAGTTCTTTCATTTGAGGGTTGTTTGTTTCCTCATTTTGGTTGTCTGTTTGGGTTTGTGACTATGTATTAAGTAGATCCTCTACACCTCTAATGTAGGACAGTGTTAAAGGCTGTTTCTAATTGGATTAAGCAAAGACTCAAAGACTCCAGAGACTGCCTCTGTCTATAGACCAGCGGTTCTCAACCTGTGGGTCGTGACCCCTTTGGGGGTCGAATGACCCTTTCACAGGGGTCACCTAAGACCATCAGAAAACACATATATAATTACATATTGTTTTTGTGATTAATCACTATGCTATAATTATATTCAATTTGTAACAATGAGATTGGGGGTCACCACAACATGAGGAACTGTATTAAAGGGTCGCGGCATTAGGAAGGTTGAGAACCACTGTTTTAATTTCTTAAGTGGCCTCAGAGCAAGGTGTTTTCCAATAGGGTGTGTCAACTGTCTTCCCCCCAGGCAAGGCAGCTATCTATGTGGGAAAGATGTCCTCTGCTGTGTGAGGGAATGACTCAACCAGGAAACTTGGGGTGTCTGTCTTCTGAGCTCTAACCCCCGAGTCCCCAGTCCTGGGTTCTGCTCTTACAGCTCTAGTCCACTTCACCCTCCCTCTGCCAGAGCAAAAGGTAGGTGGCTCCACAGGGAATTTTTGTGCATTGGCCCTTTAAGAGAGTGCCCGAATTTTCAGCTGCCTCTCCCTGGCAGACAGCACCCCACTGCTTTTCAAAGCTAGATGTTATGTGGTTACCCTCCTCAGTTTAGTGCTCTCTGCAGGGGAGCCCAGCTTCGGAATTAGAACCCTGAGTTCTCGGTGGCACCCCCCTCCCCACAGCTGAGATCTCTTTCCTGGACTTCAGTTGCTATCTGTGGGTGCCTGGCCAGCCCTTTTGCACCTCCACCCCTCCTACTAGTCCAGCCGTGGGCAAACTACAGCCCGCGGGCCGGATCCGGCCCGTTTGAAATGAATAAAACTAAAAAAAAAAAAAAGACCGTACCCTTTTATGTAATGATGTTTACTTTGACTTTATATTAGTTCACACAAACACTCCATCCATGCTTTTGTTCCGGCCCTCCGGTCCAGTTTAAGAACCCATTGTGGCCCTCGAGTCAAAAAGTTTGCCCACCCCTGTACTAGTCTCTATGTGGTCTCCACCTTCAGTCCTTGGGTATCAGGGTTCTCTCCTGTGAATTTCCCTTGATTATTCAGGAAGCCTTTCCATATTTCAGTTGTAATTCCAGCTTGTTCCTGGGAGCATGTCCATGTAGCATCCTCCTACTCTGCTACACTATGCCTTTTTAACAAATGCCTTAGGTGATTGTGATGGAAGTAGTCTCAGGAACAATGCACATCATCTCAGCAAGTGGTTGCTGTTCCCATGGTCCTCAGTGCTGGGTATGGGCCTGTGACTGGCACTCTGAAATGTTTGCTAAACAGCTGCACCATCAACGTGCCTGGAGACTCCCCGGCCTTGAGCCAGCTCCACGGCTACAAGCCCCTTTTATTTATTTACCATTAAATACCTAGGACCTTGAACACTGCCCAGTACATGTAGGGGCTGTATCTGTTAAGCCAGAAGTAACATTCTCCTCCTGATAAAAGCAGTAATAGTCTTAGAAGAGACACAAAATGTTCCAAAATTTAAACATTCTTTTCTCCTCTACAGAAATCAAGTCCAAAAGTGAGTTATAGCTCTAAGGTTGGTTCCCTTTAAATGGCACAAAAGATGTAGAAATATGATAGGTCAGCAGCAGAGACTGTGATTAGATTCCAATTCACATGTATATCTTATCTTTATAATTACGTACCTTTGTAAAAGAACTGCCAAGTTTAACCAAGGGCACTGTAGGAAATTCCCGCTTTTCACTCATTGTCAAAGATCCTGCATTAAGGCTATAGAGGTTTGACATCACAAGCAAGAGATCTGATGTGGTTTTCACAGGGAGAAAACGGCTTCTAGGAACATTGATACCTAGAGAGTTCTCAAAACTTTTAATGGCAGCCCCTACTGCAGTTTCTAATTGAATGACATTCAGGCCTCCATCCAAAGTCTGTAAGAAAGGGAGCGGGAAGAGAGAGAAACACATGTTTTAACAACTTAGTTCCATGTTAGTTAATATTTGGGGAACCGTTTCAGAGATCGATCGATTGAAGGAAACAGATTTTTGAGAAGTGATATTTATCAAGCACCTACCATAAGTCAGATACTTAAACATATGTGATCTCTTCTCAGCATCATAGATCTATTCAGTAATATTTCCATTTTATGATAAAGAACTGAAGGTTTAGAAAAGTTATGCAAGGTGCCTGTGGCCAAAAGGCCAGTAAGTATCGGTGCCATAAGAAAGCTGAGGCAGGCCCTCTGCTTTTGGACCCCGTGTTCTTGCCACCACCAGAGCCCAGGGACAAGTAAGGGCACCACGGCTCAGCACACTGAAGAGCTGGGTGCAGACTCTGGAAGACGGCCAGGACCTGGAGAGACTGGCTAGGCAAAGAGGAGTGACCACTGCACTGGACAGGCCAGAGGGTGTGTATGTGTGGGTCTGTGTGTAGCCTAAAGTGATCTCAGGAACCAGTGAGCTGGCACTTGGCTTACCTTTGGATTAACAATGATTTCCATGTCAATAGCATTCTTCTCCTGCAGTCTTTTAACTGCTGCAAGAGAGATCCAGAGGTTGTTTGTGTTAAATATTTTGAATTTTGATACAGACTTGAACTCATCAACATGTGCTTTTGGCACTTGAGCGATTTCCACCAGTCTCAATTTGCCTTCATACTGAGTGAGTGTCCCACCCTAGAAAAGGCAGAGAAGTGTGAGTGAGTGCCCCACATCCCTCCCAACTACATCCATACCACACTGTTTACAGCCTAAGAGTGTTATAGAAAAGATACTGATAATAAAATCCCCCACAAATAAAAAGCATTGGCAGTGATTCTATCTGTGATACAAAGCAATATACTTATGAAAACAGAACCAAAGAAAACAATGTAGGCTGCCTGTCATTTTATACAGTATATCCGCCCTCTTGTCCGTGATAAAGACCCTGGGAGTACAGCACATCAGAGTTCTCCTCACTTTCTGAAGGCTGGCTACAGGAACAGCATTCCTCTTATTCCCAAATCACCATCTATCACCAAATAACCAGTCCTACCAAAACCCTGCCCTGACTGGCTCTAGGATAAAGGGAGAATAGGGAAGACAGGCACAAGTCGATGAGAAGTGACCCCCTGCTTGGCCTCAGCCTAGAGATGTTTTTACAGTCACGGGGCCACAGCAGTGTGGGGAGAGGGGAGTATTCACTCATGTGGGATGGATATTTATAAGAGGCACAGAACCCAGCCCAGGGACTGACCATTTTAGTATTCACACACTGTCCACTTTTTTTACTCGCTGTGGGGTAATTACTAAAACCTTGTATACCATTTCATCAAAGGCCAAGTGTCATCACCACTAAACATGAAAAGTTTAAAAAATCAAAATTTTAAATGGTGCTGGAAGGAGACTTGACTTGGGGTGGTGAACACACAGTACAATATATAGATGATGTATTATAGAATTGTACACCTCAAACCTATGTAATTTTATTAACCAATGTCACCCCAATAAATTCAAAAATTTAAAAATTTTTAAAAATAAAACTTAAAGACATGTAAGCATCAAACTAGAAAAATATCAAAGGTTTGAATAAATCTACTGAAAGTGCTTTCACAAGTTTCAGATTTGTTACAAATATATGTGGAAATGTTTTTAGTTAAAATTGTCCATATAGATTATTCCCCCCAAAAGATGATTTTAATAGTATTAAATCTGGATTGATATACACAGTGTTATGTCCATCAGAACTTAGGGTGCTCTACAGAACACTATTTCATTCTCTTACAGTGATATCAAGTGGGTAAATGTGTTCTGCTTCACATAGAGACTTTCCAATAAAGAAAAAAGTTTGAACTACATAACCTATGAAATGTGAAGATGTGAGTCCCCAAAATGCTTCCTCTCAATATTACCTTTACATCTGCACGTGTTTTATTTGTGACTTCCATGACAAATTCACAAGGTTTTCCATTGGGTGGGTTCATTAGATGATTAAGAATATAAAGATCCACTGTTGCACCCAGATTATCTATGTTAGACACAAAAATATACTCTTTGCCTTCTCCAATGAAGATATCGAGCAAACCAGAGTTGTAGAAACTGGCGTAAATATCACCATGACCTGGCGGGTACCAAGCTTCTGTATTTTCCCCTGAGTACGATACATCCTTTGCTACAGGCAGTAAAGATTCTTTATTAATCCTAGGGTACCTTAAAAAACAAAAGTTCTTTTTCAATATCAACTCTGTGGAGCATTCCAGACATTCAAGAGAAACAATGCATTTAAATTAAACTTCCCTCGTTTTCAGACTATCATTAGTAATTTAATCAGATGTGAATCCATTTAAGAAAATCTCATTATCTGTTGTCCAAAAATCAGTTTCCTTGATAGTAATATTTGCTGCAAAACAAAACATTTTCCATGGTCATACAGATGGAAGGGCAACTCATATTTTTAAGATATTGATATGTTTTATGACTCTCCAAGAGGGGAGATACATTAAGTAAGTTTTCTCAAACTTATTTGGTCATGGGATTGTTCTTTTCCCTGAAAACCTATTTGGGAAGAGCTGTCCATTCTTACAAACAGATATATTCAGAGGTGGTAGTCTTTCTTTCACAGAAAATCAATAGCAGGTTAGTGCTCAGGGAAGTCTGCTCCCTACTCCTAGTGAGAACTCATGTAGGGGCTGGCCCTGAAACAGACTAAAAACCAACTGGACTATGGAGACAGAACACCTCTGCTCTTTCTGAGTCCCTGGGAAAATAGATTTAAAAAACACCAGAAAAGTAAAGGTACAGAGAATATACCTTCGTACAAATTCATAGACCCATGTCTGTCCTTACTTGGAAGCCACTGTTGCCTGGGCTTTATCACAATTCATCTGAATTCCTTTTTCACTTACTCTCCTTTCCCCAAAGTAGGTGAATTTCTCTAGAATTTATTAAATTTCTCCCAAACCTGTATTAGGATGTTAAAGAAATTCCTTCCCATAGGAAAGAAGTTATCGATATTGTAGAATATAGAAAAATGCTCACTGCCCCACCTGGAGCACGATACGCCCCCAGAAAACAGAGACCTAAGCTACCCCAAGTGCTCTGGGCACGAGCAGGATTTCAAGCAGATTGTCTTTTAGGAACTGGAAGTTGCAGACCCGCACAGTGATTGTAGCGATATCATAAACGGTCAGCCTCTAAGGCAGTGGTTCTCATCCTTGACTGCACATTAGAATCACCTGGGAATCTTTTTAAAATCCTGATTTCTGGGCCTCATCCTCCGGAAATTCTGTTCCTTTGTTCTAATGTTGTGGCCCCACCCCATAACAAAGAAACAGAATTTCCGGAGCATGGGGCCCAGAAATCAGGATTTTAAAAAGATTCCCAGGTGATTCTAATGTGCAGTCAAGGTTGAGAACCACTGCTCTAAGGCAGGGTCCTCAAACTGCGGCCCGCCGGGTGTTTTTGCCACCGCTGCCTGTCCTGCTTAGCAGCCGACTTGTCCTGGGCCCGCAGTGTGCATGTGTGGAATGTCTGAGGGACAGGGAACTGGCCCCGTTTAAAAAGTTTGAGGACCTGTGCGAGTCTAAGGCATCCATCACTTGCAAACATTAGTCTTTGGCAAATGTACATCTTGAGCTGCTCTGTTTAAACAAGACAAAGAGGTCCTTTTCCAGAAGTAACACCCCCCAGAGTTAATTTTTTACTCCTTGTACCTGCTTTGATTAAAAGTGTAGATTTTCACACGACAGTGACTGTACTTCTGTAGTATTTTTTTTGTATCTTCATCTGTGTTAAAAGAGTTCATTAGAACAAGAGGAACATCTGTATTGTAGGTTTTATTCAAATGCTAGGGAGGAAAATGACAATCAGATTATCCAGACTTTTCTTTTGCATAAAGGTATAAAATTAATCTTATTAATCACAAAACGTACAAAACATCGTAGCTGAGTATATTATTTTGAAAAAAATAACTTCTTAGTATAAGCCATTTTGATAAGCAATTCACCATTACTTGCTCATTCAATTGCAACTCTTTGAGACAAACTATTGTCTACATTTTGCAGATGGTAAACTGAGGCCCAGAGATGTGGCAGGTCAGCAGTAGAGCAGGGACACCTTCCTCCCCACCACAGTCTGACTTGAGCTGTGTGCCCAGCCAGAGGGCCCTATGACCTCAGCAAATACTGACTAAGCATTTAGTGTGTGTCCAGAGCACTGTGGGGGTGAAAGTACAAATGGTACAAAGACATGGCTCCCTGTTCTCAGGATTATGTCAGGAGTTGTGAATCATACCCCAAATGAAATCTTTTCAATCTCTGGAAAGAGCTAAGAGGCAACACAGAGTGGAAAGATAACAAGGTCTTAGAATTCAGACTGTCCATTCTGTACCTACTAACTAGCTGGGGAACCCTGGGCAAGTAAATCAACTTCTTTGTGCCTTGGTTTCATCTATAAAATGGGGATGAGGACAGTACTTATCTTACAGAGTTGTTGAGAGGAACAAATGAGTCAATTCATGTAAAGAGCTCAGAATAATATTTGGTGTACAGTACATGCTGGATAAATGTTAGCCACTGCTACTGCTAGTATTACTGTGGTTGCCAGCACTATATTAGAAAATAGGGATAAAGAGATGAAAAAAGGCCACTGCCCCTAAATAGCTTATGGTCTGTGATTAATGACTTTATAGTAAGAGAGAAACCAAGAATAGTTCTTAGCCCATGGCATCTAACCAATATGTGAAATTCTCCCAAGCCTCCCCAAAGGGGGTTGATAAAGCTCTATCATCCCAGCTGTGATGAAGGCTGCTACTAGAAAGGGGGGAGGGAGAAGGGGACATCAAAGGGAATCCAAACAGTAGATCCAGAGATTTCAGCAATCACAAATGCTATTTAAAGATCAAAAGTTTTTACATCACCCTAGGGATGTGCCCTAAGGAACACCAAACCTTTTTATATACGAAAATAGAGACTAAAGATAGCAAGCTCCCTGACTAGCTCAAATCCACATCTGTTATTTTATAAAGTAATGCTTATAATACTTAAGAACTAAAAACAATTTTAGTGGCTTGTGAGAACGGCCAAATGTTACTCACTTCAATTTGCTGAACCGTCAGATCCAAAAAGGTATTCTCATTCCTCACACCAATCAGACTTTTCGGACCTTTGCAGCCCATGCTGGTTCCCAAACCGCCATTGAGTTTTACCACCACCAGCTTGTTCAGCACAGAAGACACATTATCAGGTAAGCCCCTGGCCTTTATCTTTTCATAGGGTTGAATCTAAAATTTAAAAAAAAAATTACAGAAGTAATTCCTTCAGCTTTCTGAAAGGTTAAACCAGGGGTGGGCAAACTTTTTGACTCGAGGGCCACAATGGGTTCTTAAACTGGACCGGAGGGCCGGAACAAAAGCATGGATGGAGTGTTTGTGTGAACGAATATAAATTCAAAGTAAACATCATTACATAAAAGGGTATGGTCTTTTTTTTTTTTTTAGTTTTATTCATTTCAAACGGGCCGGATCCGGCCCGCAGGCCGTAGTTTGCCCACGGCTGGGTTAAACCAAACCAATCCCAGGGTTATTTCCAGGCTTCCTGCAAGAGTTTTGCTTTCTTGCCCTGGCTTATTTGGCTCAGTGGATGGAGCATCGGCCTGCGGGCCGAAGGGTCCCGGGTTCAATTCTGGTCAAGGGCACATGGCCTGGGTTGTGGGCTTAATCCCCAATAGGGGGTGTGCAATGATTCTCTCTTATCATTGATGTTTCTCTCTCTCTCTCCCTCTTCCTTCCTCTCTGAAATCAATAAAAATATGATTAAAAAAAAAAAGTGTTTTGCTTTCTTTGTGGAAAGTTTCAGCTGTATTTCCCATACAGGCCCTTCTGATTCAAAAGCAAGTACTGGCAACATCCCTGGCACACAGAAGTAGTTCAGTGGTTCATTTACAACGGAGTACCAGAAGGGGGAAAGTTACAGTCCACAAATATTTGGCTGGCTGGTGGGAACATGCAGTCCTCTCAGACTACCTTCAGAAACTCAGAATTCCCAATCTGCATCAACATAACAAATGGGAGACACAAAACTCATCAAGCCTATAAATATTTCTGGCATACAACAGATCTACTTCAATTCCAGAGAAGTTTATATATGATCACACATTGTTCCTTCTTCCAAAGGAGACAAAAACCAAAACCAAAATATTCCTTGCCATTCTCCTCCATTCAGTCCTAAGTTTGTCCTTCAGCAGATCAATGGATAAAACAAAATGTGATATATACATAAAATGGAATATTATTCAGCATTAAAAAGGAAGAAAATTCTGGCACATGGACAAACCTTATTAAGTGAAATAAGTGGTCATAAAAAGACAAATGCTTGTACAACTCTATTTATATGAGGCACCTATAGTCAGATTCATATAGACAAAAAGTAGAAGGGTGATTACCAAGGATTGCCAGTAGGGAGAAATGGGAAGTTTTTGTTTAACGGGTACAGAGTTTTAATTTTGCAAGATCAAAGAGTTCTAGAGATTGGTTGTGCAACAATGTGAATCTATTTCACACTTGCTTAAGAATGTATGCTTAAGAAACTTTAAAGGTGATTTTAAAAAGATTGTTCCTATACATAAAGATTAGAAAATAAAATTGATTAAAAATATGTCTTTTATAATACCATCAAAAATAGCAAATAGCAAATACTTAGGAATACATCTAACAAAAGATATGCAAGGGTTCTATATGGAACACTATAAAACACTTTTGAGAAAACTTAAAAGACAAAATCAGATGTATTTATCATGTTTATAAATTAGAAGACTTACCAATATAAAGATGTCAGTTTTCCTCAAACTGATCAATGCAATTCGAATCAGAATCTCAAGAATTTCTTTGTGTGAAAACTGACAAGCCAATTTAAAGTGTGTATGATTATGCAAAGGGCCAGGAATAGTCAACATACTCTCAAAGTTGGGAGAACCAGATTTACAACATTCTTTTTTTAAAATTATAAATATACTTAGCATAAAAGTTGCCATCTTAACCATTTTAAGTATATAGTTCAATAGTATTAAGTATGTTCACATTATTGTGCAATGTCCAGAACTCTTTTTTTCATCTAGCAAAATTGGAACGATATTCATTTAGAAACAAGGCACATTCCCTCCCTCCTCCACCCATCTCCTGGCAATCACACTTGTACTTTCTCCCTCTGTGAGTTTGACTACTCTACATACCTCATACAAGTGGAATCACACAGCATTTGTCTTTTTGTGACTTACTTATTTCACTTAGCCTAATGTCCTCAAGATTCATTTTGCATTCTTTTTTTTTAAGTGGCTTATATATTTGAGGATGTCCCCAAATAATGCAGTTTTTTCCAGAAGAAGGTCCATGTTTAATAACATTTACTTGTGTGTATAAAGGACTAGTATGAAGGCCTGGAATACAGATATAGGTTGACATTCTATGGCAAATTGAGCCTTAAAAAACTTTTATTCCATTTGCAGATATTAAATAGAATATAAGTTCTGAAGTCTTAGCTTAGTAATCAGAAAACCAATTCCCTTTATTTGAATTTAATAAACATAACACACCCTTAATTTACATTAAAAGAATTAAAAGATTAAAAGGGTTAAAAGAATACTACAAACATAAACACAGTTCTAGAAGTATAAATCTAAGAAAATGCTGCTCTTCAGATACATGTGAAAACAATGCAGAATGGCAGGATTTGGTTTCAGACACTGTTCAACACCTGGGTTCTGATTTACTAGTTTCTATGAGGGATGGGCAACTTGTTACTTCAAGATGAAAACTTTACAAAAATGTAAACAATGTAAAAAGAGATTCTTCATAATTAAGTATGTAGTCAAAAGATCAACAGAATGGCACTTTTTTCACTATTACTCTCTAGGCATAATGCTATCCAACAGAACTTTCTACAATTATGGAAACATCTTGTAATTTGTGGTGGCCACCTGTGGCTATTGAGCACTTGAAATGTCGCTACTGGAACTAAAGTTTTAAATTTATTTAAAATTAATGTAAATCAACATGTAGCTAGTGGCATCTGTGGTTCTAAATGGTTAACTAAAAAGAAAATGTATCAGAACTATGTTTCAATTTATTTTAAAATATTTTAAAATTTTATTTATTGATTTTTGAGAGAGAGAGAGAGAGAGAGAGAGAGAAATCAATTTGTTGTTCCACTTATTTATTCATTCATTGCTTGCTTCTTGTATGTGCCCTGACCTGGGATGAAACCCACAACCTTGGCACATTGGGTTGATACGCCAACCATACCTGGCCAGGGCTTGTTTCCGTTCATTTTAATAAAACTCTGCCAGAACCTTTTTTTGTTCAATATAATCTTTTTCACTTTAATAACACTAATATCCCATCACAAAACAGTCAACCAAACATATAAAAAGATGAGCATTTCTGATTCTTCCTTATTCTCATGAGTCAACATTCCAAATATACAACAGTGCATAGTAGTGCATCCTATCCTATATAATAAAAGACTAATATGCAAATCGACCGAACAGCAGAATGACCGGTCACTATGACGCGCACTGACCACCAGGGGGCAGACGCTCAACACAGGAGCTGCCCCCTGGTGGTCAGTGCGCTCCCACAGGGGAAGTGCAGCTCAGCCAGAAGCCAGGATCACGGCTGGCGAGCCCAGCAGCAGTGGCGGGAGCCTCTCCCACCTCCAAGGCAGCGCTAAGGAGCAGCAAGCTGGGACTGCGAGAGCCCTGGACTGCGAGAGGGATGCCTAACTGCTGGCTTAGGGGGGATTGGGCCTAAGCTGGCAGGCAGACATCCCCCAAGGGTCCCGGACTGCAAGAGGGTGCAGGCCGAGCTGAGAGACACCCTCCGCCCCTCCCCCCCCCCCCCCCCCCAGTGCACGAATCTCATTCACTGGGCCTCTAGTTGTAATATAATGCATAGTTTTTATTAAGGATGCACCGATGGTTAACTTCAGTCTCAGAATTTCACCAAATAATCTGTATTCAGCTTTAGCCTAAGCCTCAGGAAGACCAAATGCCAACTCCTACACTTAAACACCATTTCTGAGGAGAGAACTATGGAGGGAAAGGGAATAAGAGTCACAAGGTGTATGGTAACAAGGTACAATGAGGGAAGAGAGGTCCAGACTGGCAGGTTAGTGTTGCTGTTAGAAGCCTTCCCTGGAGGTCTTTCACATGTTTGGGGACTTATTAACACACACACACACACACCCCACACAAAGAAAGGCACCAATAGTTTGCTTACAGCAAGCCAGGACACTTTTTGTCTAAAGTTTATTATGGATTAAATTTAGTGGTAAGCACAACTTTCTATCACATAAATTACCCTATATGCCAACAGAAGTTCTTTCTGTTCGTCATGCTGTTCACATCCTCACCAGGAGCCTCACAAAGCAATCCCTCAGACCTCGGTTTAGTTCCATAAGCCACGGGTATCTGTGTTAGAAAGTTGCTTGGCAACAGCTGAAGTTAACACTAGACACACCTAGTGACAGAGACATTTTTTGACCTGCTCTTCACTTTCGCCTTCGTGGCTCCCTAAGGAGAATGACAAAGACATCTATTCAGACAAAGATGGATGGTGTTTGGAGACAACAGGGAGTACCATGCACGGCCTGATATGTGCTCAACGTTACCCTGAATCCGTTAGTGAATTACTAGTTCGATCTTTGTGTTTCAATCCTAATCACCCTATTTCTCTTTCTTCCAGACATGAATAGAATTCAGTGTTCAGAGAGTTCTAGTACAACTAAATATACAGTAGGGCACCTTTACAGGTGAGGTGGGGAGACCCCATGAGGCTCCCTGCAAAATGTGCAAGGCTAGGCCACTCTTATTCTCTTCTCACTGGGATAAAAGAATTGGTCAAATACCCAACTTCCTCTGGGGAATGAACAAAAGTAAGTAGTTGGCAACCTATTTAAGAACAAAATTTAAACAACGTTCTGCCCTCTAGGACGTCAATCAAGTTTTTCTGCAGAAGCTGATTTTTTAAAAGCTCTTTTAAGAACTGTCTGCCATGATCTGTTTCTTGCCAAGTCTGTTCACAACTTAGTTTCCAGTTAGAAGAAAAGCTGAATTCATCACACAGTCATGGACACACTGTTCCCATTAGCAATAGTATAACCCAGTTCTTGGTAGCATATTTGTGCTATTCCTGGAGGTGATGCCAAACAGCCCAAAAAGCTAACAGTACCTGCCCTGTTACAATTCACAAGGGTACGTTTATTGCAATCTGAAAGGTTGTGTGTGTGT